GGTGCCCCTGACAGCCTCTCTTTTGTTTTCACAAGGATAGAGTTCAAGTTCAAGTTTGTGGTCTCTCCCGGTCTGCAGACTCAGGCTGGATTTCTGTGCATGCTCACTAGCCACCTGCCAAAGCTCATTCTTGGCACCATCAGGAGTTTGGACAGAGACCCAGCCATAGGGTAAGGGGGTATGAGGGTGAGGTGTGCAGCTCACCAGGGGTGCCTGTGGGCCAGGTGGGGGGATCCGTGGGCAAGATCACCTTGTGGGCACACTTCTTGTTGGGGTCTGAAACACAGTAGGATCCATGTCCCTTTAATGCCTTCTGAAAGTCTCACCGGTCACGCTCCCAGCCTTTTCCCACCCTCAAGTCATGCAGCTCATGACTCAGTGCTTTGGTCGGAATGAGCAAGAAATGGGCTTGTTTGGTAATGTGCTGCACAACTGGGGAAGTCACGTACTCAACTCACATGCTCTCATTTTTCCCTGTGGGAGAAATCAAGGGCCAAGAAATATCTCTCTTGGCACTGAGCTGGGCTGCCTTGTGGGAGGAGGACATGTGTAAAGTCAGACTGTTCTCTTATTCTTTCTAGTGCGTCCAGATTTTTGTTTTCTTTCTCCACTGGTGTGCTGGAACTTCCCTACTGGAAACCTGAGCTTCCACAAAGGCTCTCTTGTTTGTGGGTGATTGTCTACGACAATGTTCTCTAGGATCTCCCAGGCTGAGGCTGAGAAGGGCTGGAGCCCATTCACAGGCCACCACAGGGTTCAAGCCGGGGCTGAGCTCTGTACACCTATTTCCTGATGCACTGGTGGTCAAGACTCTGCCCTCCCAGGCTCCATGGTGTGTGGTTTTGAGTCCCACATCTCCCACAAAGCACTGTTGTCTATGAATGAATGCCAACTTGTTGAGTTGGGGTGGTGGGTACGGGAGGGACAGCTTATTTAGCTACCCTACTTTTAAAATTCTTGTTCTTGGGGATCCTTGGGTGGCTCAGTGGTTTAGCACCTGCCTTCAGCCCAGGGCATGATTTTGGAGTCCCGGGATCGAGTCCTGCATCAGGCTCCCTGCATGGAGCCTGCTTCTCCCTCTGCCTGTGTCTCTGCCTCTCGCTCGCTCTGTGTCTCTCATGAATAAATAAATAAAAATCTTAAAATAAAATAAAATAAAATAAAATTCTTACTCTTTACCTTGAATATCCACCTGACATAATATTCTTCTCCTTCATCCTTGTTAACCCTTTTATGGATGGAAATAATACAGGGAAGAGTGAGGCTGACTCTGTTGCTGGAGCTATCTGATACTCAGGTAGGTAAGGATGACAGAGAAGTTTGGATTACATTGAGTGGAAACAAAGGAAAATTATAATGTTATTCTGAATTTTCCCAAGGGTTGGAAAAGGAGGAACCATTCATGGCAAGTTGACCTCCTACTGATATGCACAGTCTCCAGCAGTGGCAGGAGGAAGTTCATTCCTAATGACACCCAGTTCCATCCTTCTTCATTCCTCTTTTGGGCATCCCAAGGCAGGAAGATGTGCACATCTGGACCGGCTCACCCTTTTTGTATGGATGTTGCATTCCTGGGGAATGCCACTGTCCTGGTTATGATCCAGAGTGAGCATATTCTTCCCAAGCCTATGTACTAGTTTCTAGCCATATTGGACCCCACTGACCAGGGCCTCTCCACAGCCACCACCCCTAAAATGTGGGGCATCTTCTGGTTGAGTCTCAGGGACATATCTCTTTTCTAAAAAAAAATATGGTAAAAAACATAAAGCGTATCTTAACCATTTTTAAGTGTACATTTTAGTAGTGTTAACTATTTTCACATTGTGGTACAGTGGATCTCTAGGACTTTTTCATGCAAAACAAACTCCATACCCATTGAACAATTCTTCATTACCCCCTCCCCTAAAACCCTGGCAACTAACATTCTACTTTGTTTCTACAAAATTGAGTACTTTAGATACCTCACATAAGTGGATCCACACAGTATCTCTCGTTTTTGTGGCAAGCCTATTTTGCTTAGTGTATCTTCAAGGTTCATACAGGTTGTAGCATATGACACCTATTTCCTGATGCACTGGTGGTCAAGACTCTGCCCTCTCAGGCTCCATGGTGTGTGGTTTTGAGTCCCATATCTCCCACAGAACACTGTTGTCTATGAATGAATGCCAACTTGTTGTTGAGATAGTTTTTTTTTAAGACTGAATAATATGTATCCATATGCCTCATTTTTAAAATCCATTCATCCATCAATGGACTTTGGGGTTACATGTCTTGGGTATTGTACATAATACTGCAATGGATATGGGTGTGAGTTTTGTTGTTGTCGTTTTACAAAGTTTATTTTTAGGGTACCTGAGTGGCTCCGTGGTTGAGCATCTGCCTTTGGCTTAGGTCGTAATCCCGGGATCCTGGGATCGAGTCCCACATTGGGTTCCCCGCAAGGAGACTGCTTCTCCCTCTGCCTATGTCTCTGCCTCTCTCTGTGTGTTTCTCATGAATAAATATATAAAAATCTTTAAAAATTATTTTAAATAAAGTAATCTCTACAGCCAACATGGGGATCAGACTTACAACCCCAAGATCAAGAGTTGTGCGCTCTACTGACTGACCCAGCCAGGTGCCCCTGGTGTGTTTTCTTAACAGCTTTACTGACATGTAATTCACATACCATAGTTCATTCATTTAATGTGTACAATTAATGGGTTTTAGTATACTTACAGATATGTGCAACCATTGTCAATTCAAGAACATTTTCATCACCTCACAACGAAGCCTCGTGACAACTTTTTAGTTGTTATCCCTTTTATCCCTCCATACTCCCCACCTGGCCCCAACCAACCACTAATCTACTCTCTGCCTCTATAGATTTCCCTACCCTGGACTTTGAAAGGGATGGAATCATATAATACGTGGTCCTTTGTGGCCAGCTTCTTTCCCTTAGCGTAATGCTTCCAAGGTTCATCCATGTTGTAGCGGGTGTCAGTACTTTAGTCCATTTTGTGGCTGGATAATTTTACACTGTATGGTTAACCATATTTTGTTTATTCATTCACCAGTTGGTAGACGTTTGTTTTCCACCTTTTGGCTGCTATGAATAATGGCTTCTATAAACATCTGTGTGCAGAGTTTTGTGTGGATGTATGTTTTCATTTATTTTGGATGTATACTTAGATGTGGAATTTCTAGGTCATATAGTAACTCTAATCATTTGAGGAATTGCCAGATCATTTTCCACAGGAGCTGTACCAGTTTTACATTTCTGTCAGTAGCATAACAGGATTCTAATTTCCCCACATCCTTGTCAACAGTTATGACTTTTATTCTAGCCATCCTTTTAGATATGAAGTGGTATCTTGTGGTTTTTTTTTTTTTAAGATTTTGTTTATTTATTCATAGAAACACAGGCAGAGGGAGAAGCAGGCTCCCTACAGGAAGCCCGACGTGGGACTCGATCCGGGGTCTCCAGGACCACACCCCAGGCTGCAGGCAGTACCAAACCGCTGCGCCACCGGGGTTGCCCTCTTGTTGTGGTTCTTACTGCATTTCACTAATGGTTAGTGATGTTGAGCACTCACCATTTTCTTGTCTTCCTTGGCAAAATGTCTATTCAGATCCTTTGCCCATTTTTAAATTGGGTTGCTTTTTTATTATTTAGTTGTAAGAGTTCTTTAAAATTTACTTGAGAGAGAGGGAGAAAGCAGGGGGAGCGGCAAAGGGAGAGGGAGAAGCAGACTCCCCAGGGAGCAGGGAACCCAATGCGGAGCTTGATCCCAAGCTGAGCCAAAGGCAGGTGCTTAACCAACTGAGGTGCCACAAGAGTTGTGTTTTTTTTTTTTTAAGATTTATTTATTTATTCATGAGACAGAGAGAGAGAGAGGCAGAGACACAGGAGGAGGGAGAAGCAGGCTCCATGCCAGAAGCCCTACACGGGACTCAATCCCGGGACTCCAGGATCACACCCCGGGCTGCAGGCAGCGCTAAACCGCTGAGCCACCCAGGGATCCTAGTTCTTTGTGTTTTAACACAAGTCCCTTATATGTTAAATTGTAGATACTTTCTCCTATTGTGTGGGTTGTCTTTTCCCTTTTTCATATAGGCAAATCATAGCTACAGATTTCCCTCTGATCCTTACTTTCACTCCCTAAATTTTGGTATGTTATGTTTTCGTGTTTGGGGTCCATTGTGTTTTCATTCACTCCAAGCACCTTCCTTAGTATGTGCTGATTTGCTTCTGTCTTGCTGCTTTCAGAATTCTCCCTTTGCCTTTCAAGAGTTTGATTAGGCTCTGGCTGGGGCTGCATCCCTTTGAGTTTATCGAGTTTGGAGCTCATGAATTTCTTGGATGTGTAGCCAAATTTTTGTCATCAAATAGGGGAAACTGGTAGCCATGATTTTTTCCAAATAGTCTTTCTACCCTTTCTCTTCTTTGTATATTGCCGAGAGTCTCTGAGCCTCTCCATTTTTCATTCTGCTCTTCCTCCGACAGGTTAATTTCAATGGCCTATCTTGAGCTTGCCAATTTCTTCTGCCTGGGCATGTCTACTGTTGAGCCCCTCAAGTTAATTTTTTATGTGTTATTGCACTTTTCAACTTGTATTTGTTTCCTTTCTGTAATTTCAATCTCTTTACTGATATTCTCTACTGAGACATCATTCTTATTCTTTAATTCTTTATGCATGGTTTCCTTTAGCTCTATGAACATATTTAAAGTAGCTGATTTAAAATACAGTACTAAACTAAAGCATTCTTAAGCTTGTTCTTACCCAGGTTCTTCTTTCTTAACTGAATGCACTCTGGGTTGCTGCAAGCTTCTGATTAATTTCCAAAGCTCTGTGAAAGTTGATTCTGATAATATGTGGCAAGTTTTCATTGCTTTTATGGAGGGAACAAACATTTGATGGTTATTACTGGACCATTTTTGTTGACTCCTTGCTTGCATTTTGATTCAAACTATAGAAAGATATTTTTGAGACAGTTGGTAGAAATTGAACACAGAATGGTTATTAGATTTATAAAAACTTTATTTTGTTGGCCAGGAAAATTGCATTAAGGTCACATATGTTTTAAAAAAATCTATTAGATCTATATAGTGGTATTTACAGTTTTCTTTGCTTTCAAATACTTCCAGCTCACAAACAAAGCATGTGTGGGAAGACAGCTATGAAATACTGGCACATGTTGATGGTTGTTGGAACTGGGTAGTGGGTACATGGAGGTTCACTACACCATTTTATTTTTGTGTTTGAAAATTTCTATAATAAAATGTATTTTTAAAAATGAGGTATACCCTTGGGTCCAAACAAGGATGCCTTGAACTGGGAAAAAATAATTGAGCTCCTAAGTGGCCTTGGGTAGAAGGGAATAAAACAATGCCTGAAAGATAGGCAGGGTGTGATATTGAGAGTATGATGGCTGAAGAGAGAGAATCAATCTATCTGGCATCCCCAGGATAAAAGGACAAGTTATACCACAAGTGAAGACATATAACCATGTCTTAGTTTGTAAGGCAAATGAACTGACTAGTCCAGTCCAGGCCGCTCCCTAACCCTGACTCCCAAGTCCATGGTCTCAACCACTATCCCTGCAACATGCCAGGGTGATGGGAAAGACTTCTTTCTTGGGACTGGCCAAAGAAGTGTACCCACTTGAGGCCATTCCATTTGGCTTGAACTGCACTATGATCAAGATCTGAAGCTGGAGCTATGCATGGGGTGACAAGCCTCCAAGGGCAGAGGCCTCCAAGGGATGAGGCAGGCTTCTGACCTTCCAAATGACCCACAGCCTTAAGACATCACCTGGGGTTTTAAAAGATCTCTCTTTGATGACTCCAGACTCAATCAGTAAAGCCCCAGTAATCTTAAATGACACTGTAAGAAATGCACTTGTAAGTTCTTTACACCATATTCCTATAAAGGAACTCAAACCCTGAGGGAGGGAGCATGGGAGATCTAGCCAGAAGAGTTCCCACAGGGTTAAGATAGTGCAAGGCTTGGGGTACCACATGCTCCACATTCAAAGCCCAAGGAAAACCTACTTCGCCTGTACCGCTTCCAGCTTTCCAAATGGGGACAAGAGCCACTGGGGGCGATAGGTATCCTGTGGCCTCAGCTGAATGAATAGAGCTTAGGAAATAGGAACCAAAAGAAGGCAGTCAAGAACTTGCCATCCTTTTACTTTCCCAAGGAGGACAAGCAAAAAATATATTTTAAGACACAAAGAACCCCTCGACTTGTCTTTGGACACAGCTGGGGAATTTGAAGCCAGGTTTGGAAAAAAAAAAAAAAAAACTAAGGGAGGGGCCAGGCACTACAAGCTACAGTGGCCCCAAGGGAGAAAGAAGGGCTAGCCAAGCTCTTCACTGGCACCCAGCTCCAGAGTGCCTCTGAATGAAGCTGTCAGGAAGGGGGACATGAGCTGAAAGGTGCCGAAGACAATAATGCAAAATCCTTAGCAGATCAGGGCCTCCTTGCAGCAGGAGGGCTGAGTGAGTCTGAAGGGGGTGGGGGAAGGGTGCACAAGACAGAAGGCCAGGGAACCCGCCACTGCTTCACTGTGCTGTCACCACCACTGTGTAGGGCAGAGCAGGATGGCTCCCTGGTGAGAGGCAAGTCTGGTGTGTCTAGAAGTACAGGTTGCAGGTCATGGTGGAAAATGAACCAGAAGATGCCACATACCTTCCTTCGAGATTCAAAACCAGCACCCTGTGTACTGCCACCCAGAGTCCCTAACTGAAGGTGAACACGGCCCCAGGTCCATCTCGCAACCACTCGATTAAAGAACAGCTTTATTGGTAACCTGAAGGAACTAAGGTTAACCTGGGTGGCATCAACCGGCAAGGCCTTCTCCAGGCAGGAAAACCAATCACACAATTCACGGGAGCTCCTGACAAGAGGTCAGATCTCCACTCCTAATCATAAGAAAAATTCCAAATCCTGATTTCCGAGTAAACAGAGTCAGAGGGTATCGGTCCCCCTGCTTGTGGGGGCTCAGGAGGCTGGCTGAGCTGCTCAGTAACATCTGTGGGGCCGTGCAGACGGTAGAGGCTAGGTAGAGGCTAGGAAGGCCACGGGACATTGCCCCAAGTCAAGTCTCCAAGAAGGTTCACACTTGGGCAGGGCATGGGACCTGGCCCTGGGATTGCACTTTGGGTCTGATGGGGCCAAATCACCGAGTGGGCCTGGGTAGCAGAGAACCCCGCCTGCTGGCCCTCGGCAGGTGGAGGCTCCATAGTCTGGGCTCAGTGATGCCGCCACAGCCTGTCACGTGTCTCAGCTCCTTAGTGCTGGGGCGTCCCCAGCTTCCTGATGGGATACAGGTACCACATCACTACCCCTGAGGGGTTGATGGTCACTGTGAAGTTGGTTGTAGAGTGGAGACCACTGATGACATCACCCGTGTAGACGTTCTGGGCCTGCAGCAGGAAGACACATCACCAAAACCCCTCTAAGAATATCTTCACAGAGACCCCCGCAGAGGGTGTGAGAGCCTGGACTTCAGCCTGTCTGTGGTGGACCCCCGGTAAGCCCTACACAAGGGGGAGCCCTAAATCTCCCATTACTTCTCCATTGGCAAAGCCAGCAGATGCCCAAACGCAGGCAGTGGTGAAAGCCCAGCCCACAGACAACTTGAGGACTAGGCTGGAGGAAAGGACTGACCAGTAAGGGGACAGACACACAGCCTCAGCACAGGCCTTAATTATATATGGTAGTTCTGTCTGCATAGGTTGAAAACACCAGTGCAGGGAATGGTACCAGCCACGGCCCTGCATGCCTGCAGCTGCCCCTCAGGCTCCTGCCAGAGGACCCTGGATCCAGGGCCGAGGGGAGGCCATGTATGAGTGCGGAGCACCCCCAGCAGCCCCCTCCCAGGTAATCCCGGAGCCCTGCAAGTAGCAGGGTACTCACCTCATACATGTCGGAGCTGTTGAAGTTCAGCTGGGCAAGGGATGAGTGGTAGTGATACGGCATATCCGTCCGGCGGCTGAAGAAGACTAAGGCGCTGGCCTCACTGGCCAGGGGCCGCATGAACACTTCAATATGGAATTTTTCCTGGGCACAGAAGGTGGTTTTCCTGCTCAGGCCCTGAAATCCCCTCCCTAGCCCTCCTCAGAGCTCTGGGTCCCCCTAGCCCACAGTTCCATGTCTTGTAGAAGTTTGCAGGGAGCTACCCTAGCCCTCCAGCACTCCAACTTATTCTTCCCTGGCCTGGCAGATGCTCCTTGACACTTCCTCTGTGCCAGGCCCTGTGCTAGAACACAGAGACAAATGCTGTAATAAGGTCCTGTCTCAATCCAGAGACCCTGGATCGAGTCCCATGTCAGGCTCCCTGTGTGGAGCCTGTTTCTCCCTCTACCTGTGTCTCTGCCTCTCTTTCTCTGTGTCTCTCATGAATAAATTAAAAAAAAAAAACAAAAACAAAAAGATGAACTCTGGGCAGCCTGGGTGGCTCAGCGGTTCAGCCCAGGGCGTGATCCTGGAGACCTGGGATGGAGTCCCATGTCGGGTGGCTCCCTGCATGGAGCCTGCTTCTCCCTCTGTATCTCTGCCTCTCTCTCTGTCTCTCTCTGTCTCTCTCTCTGTGTCTCTCATGAATAAATAAATCTTTAAAAAAAAAAAAAAAAAAGATGAACTCTGCCCTGAACAGCCAAGAGGGGGAAACCCCATCTTCCAGAAGGTCCCTGGGCCTGGTTCTATCATAAGCTTCTCCGGCAGAGATTAGTTACTTCCTCTGCTCATCATCAATCCTGTATGTGCCTTCTAGAAGTTGTGTGGATTCCTTTTAACTAGAGAGGTGAGGATCTGTGCAAACAGCACAAACTTTGAGGTTCTATTGTTGAAGTTCTACTGTACCATTTACCAATGTATGGCCTTAGGTTACTCAGACTTCTCAAGTTGCAGTTTCCTTATTTGTAAAACAGGGAAGGAGTATTTACCTTTTTTTTTTTTTTTGAAACAAAACTCCTGTTTATTTCCCAAGGAGACAACACGGGGGTGCTTGGGGAGCTCCCACCCAGAGTCTAGAGTATTTACCTTCTGAGAAAAGGTACCCAGAATGCCCAGTGCCTTAGCAGGGTCTCAATAAATAGTAAATGCTAGTGTAGTACTGGTGGTAATTGCAATCCTTGGCTCAAATAACTCCTAGGCTCTGGAGGGAAGCCCTAGTTCTCTGCCGTTCATCACAGACGTGTGCAGAAATCTTGTACTTCCAAACCGAGGGGCCCCATTGTCCCCATGTGCACTTGAGAGGTGATGTGTCCCTTCCCCAAGTCCCCTGAGCTGTCCTGCTCTGGCCTTGCTCTCACCCAGGCCACTCGGGGGACGGCTGGAGCAGCTCCCAGTAGAATCTTTGACTGAATGCAACCAGCAAGGAGGGCTGAGCAGATTTCAGCAGAGGGCTTCCCAGCCCTCCATCACCTTCAGGTTTGCAGCTTTGTTCTCAGGAGAGCCGAGCTCCTTGGCCTCCCCTTTCCTCCCCCCACACTCCAGTACCTTGAGAATCCTGCGTCCCTGGATGCCCAAGGGATCCTGGTTGATTTTAATCATGAGTGGATTCTGCAGAATGTCCATGTTCTGGGCAGAGATGGTACGCAGGTCCGTGGACATGAAGAGGGGGGCTGCTAGCACCGTCCATAGGGCCATCTGGGCCCGGGCTTGCTCAAAGCTGAGGCCAAAGTTCCCTATGAGCAGCTGGTGGCAGAGAGGAGAGAAGTGGTCAGCTCTGCCCTCTTCAGGGAGGTGGGCATGGGGACCAACCCTAAACATGTAGCCAAGGCAAGAGGAGATGGAGGAGAACATTCTATGAAGCCTGGTTCTGTGAACAGCATTTCCCAGCAGCATAGCCTTGGAGTGAGCCAAGCATGCTCCTTCTGAGCCTCAGCTTTTAATTTCACCGAGAATATGGGGTGATAATATGCTCTGGCCACGTCGCAGTTGTTTAGATGATCCAACAGGATCCTGTCGGCAAAAGCGTTTCTAAATTGGAACACTAAAGTCAAAAGATAGAGTCAGAGTGGCAGTGGTGGGTAACCAGACCTGAACGGAGTCCCTGCTCCTGCCACTAGCCACCCACCTGCCGTAACCACAGGTGACAGGACCAAGGGGGGCTTCCTGACCCCAAAGAAACCAATCCACAGACTGGACTCAATAACTGCTAACGCAACAGTTAACATACTTAGTGGCACCAATTTAACAAAGCGCAGTATATGTGCCAAATTGCCGAGCATTTTTTTTTTTTTTTTTGCCGAGCATTTTGAAAGATCATGTTTTAATATTCAGAACAACCCTACATAAGGTCGCTATTATTCTCATTTTCCAACTGACAAAACTGGAAAACTTAAGTCACTTTCCCAAGGATAAGTCAGAGAGAGCAAGAACTAGAACTTCAAAGCAGGCCAATATGTGTTTCTCCAGGTGTCTATCTGGCCTATACATGTAATAACATGTATAATAATGTAATTATTATAATCGTCACCAACAATCGACAGTAGTAAATGCTCATTGACTAAAAGAAGAGATAGCTATAAAGTCTTAAGATAAATTGCAAAAAAAACCCTTAGGTGACCAGGGCTATGAGTGAGGTAGGTCTGAAGGGCCAACTCGGCCTGTAGAGGCTCTGCAGGAGGTGCCAGGGCACCAGGCATTGGGGAGGGGTCAGAGGCAGACATGGCAAGGGCAGTCTGGGGAGGGAATGGCAAGAGCGTGTGCACTCTTCATGATCTTCCCCTCCAGAGGAATAATGTCACACAAGAGTCACTACAGACCAAGTTCTTGGATTTCAAGAAACATCAGAATGGCCTGGGAAGATTGGTAACAATGGGCATTGCCAGGCCCTCTTCGAACATTCTGATCCAAGAGGTGGGGGTGGGGCCCTGGGAAGAGACATGTAAACAAGCTCACATGGTGAGTCTAATGCAGCTGGTTCACGGACCCTGACCTAGAACCTGGCAGTGAGCACCCAGGAAGCCCGCACAGGGCAGAGGGGAGCAGGTCTGTGGCAGCCACCCCCTCCATGCTGGTACCATGTCTGGGTCATTCCAGTGCCCGGGGCCTGCCACCGGCTGCAGTATGTCCTGGTTGTCCACAAACCAGTCCAGGATGGAGAGCACACTACTCCAGGAGTCCTGGATGTCGTCATAGTTGCGCCAGACGTTGCAGATTTCTGTCAGCAGAGTGTAGTTCACCTGGATGTCAGGGGAAGGCAGAGTCCAGCACCAGAGTCACACCCTGCTGCCCAGAGGCCTGGGGAGCTGAGGAGCCTCAGCAGGAGACAACAAGGGGGAATGCAGAGAATGGGGCCCTGAGCCAGATGAGGATGAGAAAGGCCTGCCCTGCCCTCACGCCACCTGGGGCCAAACGTCCCACCGCACTCCCAGCCCTGTATTTTGAGTGAGTCCCACCATCTGCCAGGCTTCTCCCTCAGGTCTGCCAGTCTGATCCCACCCTTTCCAGTGTGCTAAGGACTGAAGGGCCCCTCGGGAGGCTCAGCACCCCCTGCCTGGCCTCACCAGCCCTCTGGAGCTCCTAGCCCGCTCAGTACAACCAGGATTCCCACCGCTTGCTGGGTGATGTGTGTCATCCCAGGACATGTGGTTCCCAAGCCTTGATGCCCGTCCCTTCAGCCCACCTGACAAATACCTCCTCTAGACCCCAGGCTGGCTGAGGCCCCCTCTTCTAGACCCACAAATCAGCACGTGGGCAACTATGATGAGAGCAGCCCTGACTGCACAGGAGGCAAGGCGGCTTGGGTGTGGGGCGTGTGGCCAGGCAGGTACACAGAATGGCTTACCTTTGGAGGAAGTCCCCCTTCATAGGCTGGCCAACTGCAGGAGAAGGCAATGGGGCGGCCTGTGGCATTCAGGGCAGCTGCCATCATGGGGTACCCTGGAGAAGTCCAACCCCCACATTTTAGAACTGAGGGGGTCTGAGGCCTCAGCCCAAACCTCCCGCCAAATGTGAGGAAACAGACTCAAAAGAGGAGGTGCCTCCTCCTGTACCCACAGCTGCATATGCTTCCTGGGTAGGGCATGGTGCCAACCCATCTACAGGAAGCCCAGGAGGCAAGAATCCCCCCAGCCTCCGGGTGCAGGGAATTAGGAAATACTACTAACCCCAAGGGGCCACACAGACAGACCAGCTCAAGCTCGGCCAGGTGGGTACCAGAGAGCTTTCCATGGCCACCCCTCCCTGTCTACCTGAGGACCCCCAGGCAGCTCTGGGACCCACCCTTGGCCCGCTCCTCGGGGGTCGAAAAGCAGCCATCCAACTTCAGCATGTCCACCTTCCACTCGGCAAAGGTTTGAGCATCCTGAATCACCTTGTCTAGCGTGGTGCCTGGGTAGCCCATGCAAGTGAAGTTGCCCATGTCCTCGTAGATGCCCAGCTTCAGACCCAGGGAGTGAGCCTGTGGAGGGTTAGGACACCGTGGACTCAGGCGGGGAGCCACCTCACAGCCACATCTGACCGGGCCCCATTATAACACTACCAACGGCTCCCCACTGTCCAAAGGAAAGGGTCTCAGTGTGCAGGCCTGGCCTCTGACGACCATGATCCTCCTCACTCTGACGCACACGTCGCATGGGCAGTTTCCGGCTTCTAGGCCTTGCTTCTGCCATCCGCTCTGCCTTGAAGGCCATCTCTCTTGTATCAGCTCAAGAACTGCCTCCTCCGGGGTCTCTTTCTGAAATCCCAGGCTGGATAAGATGCCCTTCCTGGCTCTTACCCACCACAGGGAGCCAAAATTAGCCGTTCGTTTATCTGTTTCCCCCACCAGACCATGATTTCTCCAGCAGAGATTGCGGAAATGAGCCCTAGGTGAAGTGGCGGCAGGGACAGGGTGGGGGTGCAGTGTGGAGTTTGGTCTGGACATCCTGCACCCTCGCTAAAGGGCAGGGCTGGGGCGGAGCTCACATAGTCAGCCAGGAAGGCAATGCCGTTGGGGAAGCGCTTTGGGTCAGGTATCAGGTGGCCTTTAGCGTCACGCCCACCAATCCAGCAGTCATCGATGTTAAGGTATGTGTAGCCTAGGTCCCGCCATCCATCCTGTGCCAGGTGGTCGGCCATCTCCAAGAAGAGCCGCTCACTGGTGAGAGGCAGGGGAGGGGGCGGCTCAGTCACCTCCCACCCCCTTCTTCAGAGCTTTTCAGACTTCTCAGATGGTCTGAGTGTGAATCCAGACCATAAGAACCATAATCAGGATGGAATGAGAGGCTTGGCGTGGCCCTCAGGCTGCAAGACTGAGCAATCCTGGCTTTCACAGTTATCTCCTTTCAGTGACCTCAGGGGCTGGGTCCACCTAATGTCCCTGTCCCCACAGGCCTCACAGTTCCCAGACCCTAAGTGGGTCACAGGCTCCCAGATGTCCCAGAAGACACCTCTCGCTGCATTCTCTCTGGGATAGGGTGCTGTGGCCCTCTTTTCTAGCTGACCCCCCACTCTCTGGCCCACTCTGCTGGGTCTCAGGCAAGGCTTGTTAGATGGTAGACCCGACTCACCTGATGCAGTTCTTCGGGTCCTCATCACAGTCAGTGTTGCAGCGAAAGCGTTCCCAAGCCAGCCAGCCCATAGGTGGCTTCCGCAGGAGCCCGTTCTCTAGCACCAGCACCTGGGCCACCAGGGCCAGCAAGACCACTGCAGGGAAGTGGGAAGGATGACCGTCATTGGTGCCCATCGCCCTAGCCCTCATACCGCCCCACCCATATGTTGTCCAGCTCTGCAGAGGCCACTGGCCTCCACATTAGGGGGGGCCAGTCTCCTGGGAAGAACTAGCTCTTCCTGCATCTGCTGGCTCCCACAGCTGCAGTTAGAGGGCTCACGGTGCCTGGGGCAGGGCAATGTGTTTGAGGCCTGAGTCCCCACTTGCTGTGGCCACAGGAATGCTGGAATTAGTAAAAACTAACACCTGAAGTTGTATCCTCTCTATACCCTGACCAGCTCCCCCAATTTACTGGTCTCCTGACACCCATCCAGGGCTCTTTGCTCTCCACCACAAATCCCCAAGGGGCCTCAGAAGGGCTTAAGGGGTCAGCCAGATTGGACCCGCACCTAGCCAGCTCATCTGGGTGAACCCTTGCCCCCTCAGGCCTGTTTCCTTATCTATATGATGAAGTTACTCTACAGGGCTGTTCTCTGCCACGTTGATAACACATAACATCAGACCTCTGCACTTTGAGGGAGAGGGGATGTGAGAAGAAGAGGCCTCTTTGGAGGGGAACTAATTCCTAGGTGGGAGCATTTCCTTTCCCACCCAGTTCTAAGAATAAGACAGGAACATGCCTCTCCATATACCCACATTAAGAAAGCAGGCCCAGACACCAGAGGGCTGGAGCTTTCTCCAGGTAGCCCCAACCCCCCATGGGTCCCCTACCCAACCCACACCACCGCCACCGGCCTAGGTACCTGTCTTCAGCAACATTGCTCTGGACTCGGCGTCTCAGGACCTGACCAGATCTGCTCTGCTTTTACCAGCTTTCTATGTTGAACTTTGGAAGCTAAGAAAGGTTAGAAAAGCACTGGGGTCACTACTGCCTCGCTAGCTCTGCCGCCCTCAGCCCTGGGCGTGGATCCCACGCTCCGTCCCCAAGTCGCCCTCCTTGCCCACCGCCCTCGGATTCCCTCGGGCCGCTAAACAAGGGGTCTTAGACGTTAGAGCCGGCCCTCCCTGTTAGCTCTGGGAACCCCGGGGCGCCCGGGGGCGGCCCTCCGCGGAGCCGGGGCCACGGAAAGGCAGCGGCCGCCCAGGACGGACGGAGGGGTCGGGCAGGGGCAGGCCCACGGACTCCCACCGGGTCTGGGTGGCCCCCCGGCCCCCAGGGACGGCAGCCCAGCAGTCCCGGGCCGGGGACCTCACCCTGCGGACGCCCTCAGAACCGCCACTCGCTCCTGCCTCTGGGGCCGCCGACTGCTGCGGGAACCTGATTTGCCTGCCGCGTTCCAGAGGGGCGGGGCCTGACGGCGGCCCGCCTTCCCGGCGGAACCTATCAGCATCCCCGTAGCAACGCCGTGTCCCGCCCCCCGCGGCCCCAATAGGCCCGCCCCCGAACCGCCCAAAGCCCCGCCCCCCGGGGCTCCGGCTCTGCGTCCAGCCCCCGCCCGCAGCCGCCGAGCGGGTTTGGGGCTGGGTGACCCGGCTTCCACGGCTCCCGGAGAGGTTAGTCCTCTCACCTCTGCGGGATCCCTGAAGGCGAGCATCGAGCCCGGCACAATGTAGACGCTTAATAAATGGTGTGGCGTGGATATCTGCTTTGTTCAAAGGAAGTGAGCAAATGCCACGAAGCACGACCCAAAGTAAGCCGCTCAAAAACGCCAGTCGAACGTGAATAGGCATTACGAGAAGGATGGCTGGGCGAGAGCAAACCAGGTGTGAGGCACACTGTTTTTGCAAAGCCAGGAGACTCTCCTCCCCTACCTACCTTGATGCTGCGGGCCACCGCTGGGTGGACTGGCCCAGGCAGGCATTCTGCAGATTCCTCCTCTTTCATTCATAACATATTTATTGTGCAACTACTAGGTAGGTGCCACACACTTCGTTCTCGGCACCATCACTGGTCACTGGGCATCTCAAGCATAACTGGCCCCAAACTGAACACATGCCACCTTCCGTTTCTCGGGCAATGACAACTCTCCTTCCCTGTGCTGGAGCCAGAACTTTGGAGTCCTCTTTGCTCCCCACCCCTTTTTCCCTCACTCCCCACATCCAGTCTTTGGGCAAACCCTGTGGTCGCTACCTTCAAAATCCACCTCTTGGGATCCCTGGGTGGCTCAGAGGTTTGGCGCCTGCCTTCGACCCAGGGCCTGATCCTGGAGACCGGGTCGAATCCCGCGTGGGGCTCCCTGCATGGAGCCTGCTTCTCTCTCTGCCTGTGTCTCTGCATCTCTCTCTCTCTCTCTCTCTCTCTCTCTCTGTCTGTCTCTATGAATAATAAATAAATACCTAAAAAAAAAAAACCCACCTCTCATTACTCTCCCAGTGACTATCACATCTTGCCTGGATTATTGGTTGCAGCAGCCTCATCACCGGCCGGCTTCCACCTGCATTTGTTCTCTCCACAGAAGCCAGAGTACTCTTTTAAAACATAGGTCACTTTGGGGCACCAGGGGGCTCAGCAGGTTGTCTTCCACTCTTGACTTCAGCTCATGGCATGACCTGAGGGTGGTGAGATGGAGCCCAGAGTCAGGCTCCTGATGAGCATGGAACCTGCTTGAGATTCTCTCTCTCCTCCCTTTGCCTCCCCCCTCACCTTGCACGCCCCTGCTTCTTCACATTTTCTCTCTCTAAGCAAAATAAATAAAAAATATAACATAACTTAGATCACTCCTCGCTCAAGACCCTGTGATGGCTGTTCCTCGCAGCCTAGAGACTCACAGATTTACAAATCTCACCCACACATTCTGACCCCATCTCCTCCTGCTCTCCCTGTCCTCCCTGCCTCCCTGCCACACTGTCCTCCTTGAAGTTCAAACACCACAGGTCTCGGGACCTTTGCACTAGCTGTTCCCTCTGCTCTTCCTCCAGGTTTTGGCATGACTGGTTCCCTTATTTCCTTCCAGTCCACCTTCTCAGTGAGGCCTACCCTGGCCCTCCTATTTGAAATTGCAACCTCCCAACTCTAGCTATTCTCAAGCTCCCTGACCCTCCTATATTTTCCATACCACCTATTTCCTTCTAACACATTTATTAGGGTTTCTATTATTAGCTGAATAGAATATAGTGGAAGAGACGGATAACAAACAGGAAGTAAAAGCATGAATATAGGGAAGTTTCTATAGCGGCTAGTGCCGTAATGAAAATACAACTTAGCGACGTGATAGCGACCTGAGGGTAGGCTACTTTGCATCTCTTGGTCGGGGAGGGGAGCTGAGACCTAACTGACGTGAAAGGAGCCCTGAGAAGGTAGAGCCGAGGGGAGGGGTAAGAAGGAAGAACGCCCGAGGCTGCAGGAAACTGCAAGGGCTAGAGCTCGGAGCCGGGAACCACCGAGTTCAGGGGTCGATGTTCCACCCCGCGGGCTCCCGTGGGCCGTGGGAACCCCAGCCCCCCGCCGCTGGCCCCCGTCGGAACTCCTGCAGCCCCCAGGACAGCCCGCCAAGGAGCAACCCCCAGAAACAGAGACGCGAGGACCCCGGCCCGGGCGGAGTCAGCGGGAAGCTCGGCGGGGCCTCGCGGGCTGGCTAGGAGCCCGCCCAGAGGAGGCGCCGGGCCGAGCCGTCCCGGGCTTGGCTCCGTGGGGAAAGTGGGCCGGGCGCGACGAGGGGGCCGGAGGGGGAAGGGAAGGTCCGAGCTCTCCCGGCGGTGGGCTGGGTCCGAGGCGCGGACGGCCTGCGGCGGGGCCCTGGGTTCGAGGTCGCCCGCCGCTGACCAGCTCCGCCCCCGCCCCTCGGGCCTCAGTTTCCCTCCCGCGTGGATGGAGGGGCGAGTCCGGGGCCCGTCCGGTGAGCCGCGGGAGGGAGGAGCGAGGTGGTAACTCGAGCCGCCCGGAAGGGGTCTCCCGGCGCCCGCGGCCGCGTTCCGGGCGGAGGCGCGGGGCCCGGAGCCGGGGTCGCCCCGAGCCGCGGGCGCAGCCCACCCGGCGGCCGCCCTCCCGGTTGTCGGCGCGCCCGGCGGCGCGGAGGTGAGCGCGGGCCCGCGGGCTCGGGAGGAGGCGGCCCCGGGAAGGCGTGGCCCGCGGCGACGTGGCGGGGCAGCCCCACTGCGCGGGCCGGGAGACTGAGGCCCCGCCGCCCCCTGCGGCGCGCGCCCGGGACCCCGGGACCCTGCGGAGCCCGCCGCTGCTTGGTGGCCCGGCCGCCGGGTCCCACGGCCCAGCTCCTCGAGGAGAGTCTGGAGAGACGCGGTGCCCCGGGCGCCCCCCTGGGAGGGGTGGGGGCCGCTCCCGCCCCAGGCTCGCGGCGGCGGCGGCGGCGGCGGGGGTGGGGTGGGGGCACTGCTCCTCCGGCCCCCCTCGCGCCCCGGGGCCCGGCGGACCTCAGCGAGCGCCCCCCCCCCACCGCACGGCCCTGCCCCCGTGGGCCCCCGACCTGCCTCTCTCCTCCTCTCTCCTTAGGCCTGGTCGCGACCTCTTATTTAATTAATTTTTACATCCATTTATTGTTTATCTTGGTCTGTTTACAGTGTGTCTCCCGCTGGAATGTAGGCTCCAGGAGGGAGGGACTGCTTTGTCCATCGTTGCATTCTCGGCTATTTCAGTACTTTCCGAGGGCCCCTTCCCGATGGGCTGCATGTTGGAGGTCACACGGGCAGCCAGTCGAGGAGTCCTGCCCTACACGTGCCGGGGCTGGGGATAGTGCTGTAAGCACAAAGGAGATCATTGTGGGGGGCGGGGGGAGGAAAGGAAAACAGAAGTGAGGGGGCTGCTGCTTGGGTCCCCTTGTGATCAGGACCACTTTAGGTACAGGATCAGGGCAGGCCTCTCAGATGAGGTGACATACATCTACAAATAAACGGTGCTGAAAGGGAAAAGGAGGAAGCCGGAGACACTTAACTCTGACCTAGCCTTTGCTGGGGGTAGAGAACTGAGCTCTGAAAAGTGATGATCAATTGCTCTTAAGTACCTGGTCTGGGTGGGTGGGTGGGTGGGGAGATTATCGGGGATCAGGCAACACTCCCGGGAAGCAGCAGTGGTTTTACTGGGCCTCTAAGACTGAGTAGGAGTTCTCATCCTTTAGGATGTGGTGACAGGGTTTAAAAATTGTTTTGCAGGTGCCCCAGGAATCATGTAATCAAAGGGCCGAGCTGTGTGGCCAGACCAGAGAGGCCCCTGCCCTCTTGCTGGGAGCTCTGTGGGTAAGTGAGCAGCGTGGTGGGCTCTGCTAGTAAGTGGGTCACTGCCGAGACTTGCCCCCAGAAGCTGTGAGGGAAGCAGGAGAGCAAGCTCTGCTTTTCACTGGTCATTCAGTCTTGGGCGGTTCTGCTTTGCTGCTCTAGGCCTCAGTGTTTTATGAGTCAGGAGGACAGTTGGATCAGGTGCCACATATGATCTGTGGGACCTCAACATTCAGTGGTTGAGGTTGGTCCTACCAAGCGGTGCCCTGTGTTTGTGCCACACTTTTGTTTACCGGGCAGGTCTCCGTCTAAGCTTCTCCCCCGCCGTGGAGGAATGGGGCCAGCCTGCCTCACCCTGCCTTCTGACCCCGAAGGCTTCAGATTCTTAAGGAAAGGGTAACTGTGCCATTAACGAATGAGACGCTGGCAGGGGCCCAGGGGGGGTCACAGAAACCTTGGAGGTTTGGCCTCAGGGTTGGAGCTAAGGGACCCCTGGATTAAGGGATGGTTTAAGCTAATATCTTTTTCTTTGGGTTTTAAAAAACTGTATCAACCCCCTCCATGCCTCCCGGTCTGGAACAGGCATATTATCCTTCTCTCTGGGTCCTCTGACATCCAGGTTTTTGCATGATCCTCCCAATCACCATTTGAGAGAAGAGGCAGGGATGCCCGCCCATTTCACAGATGAAGACACTGAGACCTCAGGGCACACAGCGAATAGAGGCCACAGGGCTGGGGCCCAGGTCTCCTCCAGGGCCAGCCTTCTTTGCCCAACAGGGGCACAGAGCTGCCTTCTCCTCTGACCTGTGGCCACCGTCTCCCCTCACAGTGCTTATAGGAGCCATGAAGCTGAACGAGAGGAGTGTGGCCCACTACGCACTGAGCGACTCCCCGGCAGACCACACGGGCTTCCTGCGCACTTGGGGGGGTGCAGGGACTCCGCCGACCCCCAGTGGTGCTGGCCGAAGGTGCTGGTTTGTCCTCAAAGGCAACCTGCTGTTCTCCTTTGAGAGTAGGGAGAGCCGGGCCCCGCTGAGCCTGGTGGTGCTGGAGGGCTGCACGGTGGAGCTGGCCGAGGCTCCCGTGTCTGAGGAGTTCGCCTTCGCCATCCGCTTCGACGCCCCTGGCGTGCGCCCACACCTGCTGGCGGCAGATGGGCCGGCGGCCCAGGAGGCCTGGGTGAAGGCACTGTCCAGGGCGAGCTTCGGCTACATGCGCCTGGTGGTGCGCGAGCTGGAGAGCCAACTGCGCGACGCCCGCCACAGCCTGGCCTTGCGTCGCCACTCATCCTGGAAGGCTGGTCCCGGCCACCAAAAGCCCCAGGCTCCTGAGCGCCCATCTCCGGGCCCAGAAAACGGCCACCCCGTCTCCAAGGATTGCCGGCCCGAGGACCTGGTTGAAGAAAGGGGCAGCAGGCCAGGCGGCCGGGGCTTGGCCGAGTGGCAGGGCCCTGCCGGCCTCTTCCTGGGCAGGCGGCAGAGCCCCTCGCTCCCCGAGACCTCCTACTTCTCGATGCTGCACAACTGGTATGGCCAGGAGATCCTGGAGCTGAGGCAGAGGTGGCTGCAGAGGGCCTGGGCCAGCCGGCCGGAGCGCGAGAATCGGGATGGGCACTGAGCCCCGGTCTGGCGGGCATGGCCCTTATCCTGCCGGTCAGGACACTAGGGCCAGGGCTTTTTCCAGATTTTAATGAATGTTTTTTGTTTGTTTTTTTTAAGTGACTTTTTTTTTTTTGAGAGGATTCTTTCTTTCCTGTTTTTTAGGCTTTCCCAGGGTCCAGAGCTACCCTCTTGCCTGGAGGGGACTGAGGAGTCATTACTCCCAACTCCTTTATTTCCTGAGGCCCAGGGAGAGGGAGGGCCTTGCTCCGCAGCCCCACGGCCAGACTCAGCCTCCTCCCTCTGTGTTCGGGCCCCTCTCTCAGGGGATGCTAATGAAATGGAGGAAGTGGGAAATATTACGTGGCGGTAGGCTGCCGTGCCCTGTTACCTACACACCCGACTCTACAACCACAACTTCCTACACAGGGAGTCTTGTGTACCTTTAGATACCAGAAGTTGGGTGAAGTGTTAGTTCAAGGGACTGACATCGTCAGAGAAAGTAGATTTATTGTTATGGGGGTTTCTGGGGCCCAGCTCTTCCTGAGCGGTGGGGCACAGGACCCCCACTCTGCAGCTTGAGTGGGGCCCTTTGGAGGGAGAGGGCCTTCAGCCAGCAACGAGGGATTAATTCTGCTCGGAGAGTGTTGGGGCTCCCAGCTTCTCTCCCTGGCTGCCCTGTCTATAGATGGTGCTTGTCATCGCCCCAGGAGGGGCTGGTGGCTTTTCAGCGTCAGCAGAAATCCTTCCTGTATTCTGTCTTCAGATGCCAGCTCCTGGAGCTGCCGAGTGGGGAGGCCGTGTGGCTCCCTGGGGAAGCCCTTCAGTCCAGGGCATTCTCGGAGCTTGGACACAGGCTTCCCAGCACTCTTCTCCCGACTGCCCTCCCAAAGAGCTGTTCCTGATCCTGAACCCAGCCTGGGAACTCCTTCACCGCCCTGTTTGTCAGCCAGTGCAGGTCTGCCAAGACCCTCTCATGGATCCTCCCAGCGGCACGGCCCCAAGTGTTTTATCGATGGTTTAGGGTGTCGGCGTGTCTGGGTGGAGAGAGCCAGCAGCCAGCCCGGCCTGAGCCCTTGGGGTGTGGCCGCCGTGGCCGGTCGGGGATGCAGAGCCTGGGCCGACAGGCCGCTCTCCACACACCCAGCCGGCCCCTGAGCCTCTCCGTCCCCTCTTAGCAGCTTGGGTACACGGCCCAGGGCCGGACCAGGTCTGGAGGCTTCGCGGGCCCAGTCCCAAAGGCTTGTTTCCCAGGAGGCGGGGCGGCCGCCTTCCCAGCCCCCTGCTTCATACAGATACCACAGCCTTTTGTTATCGTTCTTATGGTTATTACAGTGTTTTTTTTTTATATATACGATTAAAACACTAAGTTTTTATTACTCACTTTGGTTTCAGTTCATTTCAACAATCACTTGCCCAGGGTGTACGAAGACCCCCCCCCCCGCCCCCTCGTTTGCCTACATATGACGTAAGCCTTGGCAAGAAATAAAACTACAAAATCACCCAGACAGTACAACTAAATAGACTTGCATTATTATTATTTTTAAAGATTTTATTTATTTTTTCATAGAGACGCAGGCAGAAGGAGAAGCCGGCTCCATGCAGGGAGCCGGACGCGGGACTCGATCCCGGGTCTCCAGGATCACCCTGGGCTGAAGGCGGCGCTAAACCGCTGAGCCACCCAGGGATCCCCGAGTCATTATTATTTTTAATGTTAAAAAGAAAAATACCACAGTTGGAGGGCCGATTAAAGTGACTTCTCTTCTCAACAACCACCTGCCCTGCCCAGCCCTGGCCGCCCCAGGTGAGGGAACAATGGCGGAAGCACAAAGGCTCTGCCAGGACCGCCCGCCCCACGACCCCGCCCAGCCGCCCGGAACCAGGCGGCTACCGGGGCGTCGGCGCTCCCCGCGTGACGTCTCCACGTCGGGCGGGTGACCAACGCCCCCTTCGAAGCGCCGCAGGAACTAGGCGCATTGCGCCGTGTGAGGGCTGGGCCTCGCGTCTCATCCCAGGAGCATCGCGAGGCTTGGGGCGGTGCTCTCGCGGAGGGTGTCACAGGAGCCGGGCGCTAGGGTCCGGGTGCCGGGCTAGGGGCGGAGCTGGGAGATGGCGTCCGGAGCGGCTCGCTGGCTGGCATTGGCATCCGTCCGATCCGGGGCTTTCCGGAGCGGGCCGAGGCTGAGGAAAGGTGGTGATGTCTCCGCCGGAGGGGGTGGCTCAGGTCGGAGCCTGGTACCATCGAGGTCAGTCATCGTTACTCGCAGCGGCGCCATTTTGCCCAAACCGGTGAAAGTGAGTGTCTGCCTGGAGGCGGGGCGAAGGGGCCGAGGCCAATCATGTGGGGTGTGTGTGCGGGTCGACGCTGATTGATAGGAGCAAAGGCCAATCATACGACCGCCTCAGACCGGAAGACGGATCAAGGACAAAGTTTAGCGCTGATGCGCTGCTAAATTTGACAGGTGGGAGGAAACGGATCGGATCCCGGTGTTGAGTTGGGCGCCGGGAGACCGAGGACGGGGGGCGAGAGCTGAGGAGGACTGCACTCTGCACTAGCGCATCGTGAGGAGCGGGGAGCCCAGTGTTCAGGGCCACAAGGCGCGGCTTTGCGCACCCGGTATAGACAAATCACGTAACCGCTCGGTTGATGGGGTGGAACGAGTTGTGAAAGGACTTGGTAAAGGAGTAGTGGGACAGACCTTGTCTTATAAGAGTTTTGACCTAGTACTTAATTCACGTGATGTGCAGTCCTGAGAGGTGGGCAGGGAATTACTACAGTTTTGACAAGTGAAGACTCGGGCCAAAGCAGCGAAGCCAGTGAGGCTCCAAAGCTAGCGCGAGTTAGGTCCCGGAATCCAGGTTTCCTGCTCGTTCAACCCTCTACCAGCTCCTGTTTTTTTCCCCCACCACGGAATGCTGTCACGTGCCCTGAGTACCCTTGGGTTTTTCTAAGTGGAAACAGCCCCTCACACCAAACAAGTTTGTTTTCTGACTCCAGGGCTGTGTGGGAGTTACAAAACAAAACAAAACAAAAAAAAAACACGAAACAAAAACAAAACAAAAACAAATTCTCTTAAAGCTAGTCTGGCCAATGCTAGCTCAGACTAATGAGTTCAAGATTGTTTTTGTGGCAAGAAGCAGGGTCCATGGGGGTGGGGGAAGAGCTGCCTTATAAAAAGGCACAGCTGAATTTTTTTTTTTTTTTTTTGCAATTCCTAGGAAAATAGAGGATATGTTGAGATTATGCTGAAACTCCCCTAAGCCCATCTAAACAGCTAGCCCTTTAGGGTAAGGACATGCTCACTTTACAAAACATGGTTATTTAAAACATTTAATATGGTGACATTAAACGTTTCAGCCACTGGGGCATCTGTTAAAGAACTGTGTGTATTTAGTGTCTAAGTAGAGGTGAGCTCTTGTTGCCACAGTCCCAACTCTTAGTACTTTACTGTTTATCCGTTATCTGCAAGTAATCACCAGGTTGTGCCCTAATTTTTAGATGTCTAGAATGCCTTATCCTTTTCCTTCTCCTAGCCACTTTGATGGCAATAAAATAACCTTATCTCTTCTTTTTTTGTTGCTCTGAATTTTTCCAAGGACTTTAAAATTGAGTAGTCGCATATTGTGGGCCTCGGGTCCACAGGAGTGCCCCCGAAGGCCAGGCCTTCTGTGGTCCCACCAGAGTGGGCTCTGGAGCTCATGGCCACCACTCTGACCCTCTGCAGATGTCCTTCGGCCTCCTCCGTGTGTTCTCCATTGTGATCCCCTTTCTCTATGTCGGGACGCTCATCAGCAAGAACTTTGCTGCTCTCCTCGAGGAACATGACATTTTTGTCCCAGAAGATGACGATGACGATGACTAACAGGTAGGGTGTCCTCTTCTCCAGTGGACCAGGAAGGGATGGGGCATCTGAACTCTGATGTCCTTTGCCCTGGGTGGCAGTTTCTGATCACTTGAAGAAGTGCAGACCTTCAATAAATTGACTCACTTGGCTAATAGTTTTATTCTGCTTTTGCTCAATGTTGGGTGAGGAAAACTATCTATTAAAAATTCACTGGGATCTCTTCCAACTGGGTTGATCCCAACCAGGCATTTTATTTGTCCTGTAGGGTACCCTCGTTCTCCCAACCCACAAGTTTTCTTAACAATTTAATGCCTTATACACTCACCCCAAACAGCTTCATTCTCCACAATGATATTTAGAAACTGCAGGTCTTCACCATGGTCAGTAAGGTGCACAGCAAACTCTGTGCCTGTTCCATTCAGCTTTCTGGTGTTGGCTTCTGGTGCTCTAATATGTGCCATGTGGCTGCCTTTCTGTAGCTAAGGATGGCTCTAGCCCCCTGGTCTGACATTGAAGGCATGCCATGATCTGGTCACACCTGTTCCTCCAGCCTCATCTTCCACATTCCCAACTACATGCCTATCCCCAGTATTCACTATTTCTTGAATCACCCACATGCTTACCCACTCCCAAGCGGTGGCTTACTACCGCCCCCACCCCCCAATTGGAAGACTGTTACTTCCTACTACTCCTACTGGCACCAGTTCTTCATGGTCTTTGAGGAACTCTTCCCTCATTCCTCCATTTGAAAGTGACTACTGTGCCCTCTGACTGACCAGTATCTCTTGTGATAGGATACAGTTACACCTCTAACTTTTGCTAGACTAAGAGCTGCTTGCTGGCAAGAAACATTGTTTTTTTAAGTAAGCTCTATACCCAAATAGGGCTTGAACTCATGACCCCAAGATCAAGAGTCGCATGTTCCACCAACTGAGCCAGCCAAGCACCCTGGGAAACGTGTTTTTTATAACTTTGGGCCCCCAGTGCCTGGTTTCTGATAAATGTTCAGTAAATGTGTGAATGAGTGAACAAATTGCCTTGCTCTTGCCTTGTTTGGTAGAACCTCTCTGGAATGTTCTTTTTGGTGTGTGGATAGAGGGCTACTCTGTGCCCAGTTCACTGCTGCTTTCCTTTCTTACAGGACATGGAGGAAGTAACAGAAAGGAGACAGCCTAACTTAATTATGACATGGTGATGCTCACAGCCTCTCCTATCTCCCTATCGGAAGGGCCCAGGGAAAGCCTTCAGCTTCCCTACTCCAGTGAAGCCTCCTGCACCACCTGTGACCATAGCCCAGATCCCCAGGCTCTGGGAGGTTCCCAGAAATGTGCTGTCCACTGAGCACAGTCAGCTTATGAATAAACATAATAAACATCAGCTCTGTGTGACTGAGTTGTGGCTAAAGTGTCTTAGTATGAGTAAACCCTAGTTGCAATTTCTTGTCCCTGCAATCCTTTATCAGCTGAACGTAACAGGCCTTTGATTTACAACCCAAGATTTCCAGCCCCCAGCTTCCATCCATAAAGGTAATTATAGGCACCTAGGACCTATTTTCATCATTTACAAAAGCCCAACAGAAACTTTCCCCTCAGTAAAGATGCACAGGCTAACAAAAGCCTCAAGGTTTTTTTGAGTGTCGAGTAACACTGGCAGGTTATCACATGCCATTCTTAAGCTTTGACTGTTTAAAACTCCAGGAACATTGTTATTAGAATGAATCTTTCAACACTTGGGTTCTTTAGATGAAAAGATAGTAAAGGGGCTGGTGGTGCTGAAAAATCTGGGAATGTTTGGGGTGACTGTACCTATAGGTACTGAACCCCTCTCTCCAGCATTTAGTGAAAGAACTATTGAGAACAAAGGGAAGTACTTTTGTGTTGATATTTATTCTCTTGTCACTGGAGCTATAGACCAATTTGCAAAAACAGTAGAAAGATTTGTTTTCTGTGTGTGCATTAAACAGCTGTGTTCCTAGCAGAGTGCCTAACCGAGCAGGAAGTGACTTTCCTCTTCAGGACTGGTGCTTGTGACAGGTACATGGGCTAGGCCTCTGAGCTGCCTTCTTTTCAGAAGCCAGGGAAGAACGGCCCAGCTTAGCAGCCTTGCTTCTTCATCCCTTAGTGCTGCTCCAATCTCTCCCAACAGCAAGAGCTGGCTAATTTTGGATAATTTATGGGGTGATACCAAGCTATCCTGGGCTGTACAAACATGGCTAAGTTGAGGTGCCTGGGTGGCTCAGTCAGTTAAGCAGCAAACTCTTGATTTTGGCTCAGGTCATGACCTCAGGGTTGTGGGACTGAGCCCCATGTCAGGCTCAGCACTGGGACTAGGGCCTGCTTAGGATTCTCTTCCTTTGCCCTGCCCCCCACCCTCTCTCTTAAAAGAAAAAAAAAAAAAAAGACAGCTAAATTAACAAAGTCATCCAGCCTGATACCCAGAATGATAGTTTCTGAGCAGATGGCCTCCTCCTTCCTGTTTACTGACATGCAAGGCTCTGAAAAAAGAGAATCTAATTTACAGGAAACACCACACTTCAGGAAAGGGAAAGAACAGGTGGTGTGTATACTAAGACCCCACTTGTTCAGGCAAAAAGAGACAGACGGCAGAACAAGAACTTCCCATTGAGTGATGATGGAATTCTATTAGGAAGTGACCATCACATACTGAGTTTATTTGTGCTCTAAAATATTTAAATATCAACATGCACCTTTCCACTGAGTGACTTCATGGGTCATGGCCCACATAGAACTTGGACAGGAAGTCCTTTGGCTTTGGCGCTTCTGTTTCATGGAAGAACCTCATGACATGTGTCCGCTGCTTCCACACGTTAATCGTTTCCTCCAGTTCCATCTTTCCCTGTACAGGTGAGGGGAGAGGTGTTCCGTCAGGGTGGCTGAGGGGAAGGAATACGACACAAAGCCAGGATTCTGTGCTCTGCTCTGGCACTGACTAGCTGAGTGACCTTGGGGGCAAGTAACCTCCTCTCAGGACCACAGTTTCTGCATCTGGAAAATGAGGTGGTTGGGCTAACCGATCTCTCAGTCCTTTCAAATATTCTCTAACTCTGGAGCTCACTGATCCCAAGAGGAGAGACTTCCAGGTCAGCAGGCCCCAGCTCCATGACTGCCTGACTGGCTTAACTGGGGTTTCTGCCAAACATTCCTTCCACGGTATGTACCAGCCCATGCTAAAGTTCACACTGATGCTAACGTGACTGACCAGAGATGACCGAATCACGCCCGGGATTTGACCCCATTTACACAGGACTCAGCTAACCAGTCTGCCTCTTCCAGCTGATGAAGTCGTACCTTCCAGAAATGAGGTTCAGGAAGAGTTTCAAACTTTCCTCCTCAAATCTTTTTTAAAATGTAAGCCCCAGGTGCCTGGGTGGCTCAGGTCATAGTCCCAGGGTTCTGGGATTAAGTTTCACATCAGGCTCCACACTGAGCAGGGGAGTCTGCTTCTCACTCTGCCCTTGCCTACTCTCTCTCTCTCTCTCAAATAAATAAATTTTAAAAAATAAAAATACAAGCCCCAGAGGGACGCCGGGGTAGCTCAGTCCATTAAGCATCTGCCTTCGGCTCAGGTCATGGATTGAGGGTCCTGGGATTGAGTCCCACCTTGGGCCTGTGCTCACAGGTAGTCTGCTTCTCCCTTTGCTCTTTCCCCTGCTCGTGTGCACTCTCTCTCAAATAAAATCTTCAAAAAAAGTAAAATTAAAAATGCAAGCCCCGGTAGGTTTTTTCTTGAATAATCTTATATTTAACCAGGTGATAACCTCTGAAGTTCCTCTGTTTCTTTTCCTTTTTTTTTTTTTTTTAAGATTTATTCATTAGAGAGAGGCAGAGACACAGGCAGAGGGAGAAGCAGGCTCCCTGCGGGGAGCCTGATGTGGGACTCCATCCCAGGACCCCAGGATCACGACCCGAGCCAAAGACACACTCAACCACAGAGCCACCAGGCACCCCCGTTCATATGTTTCTCTGAACACTAAGCAATAGTTAACTGACTCGGTAGTTGCTTTTTAAACTTGGGAGACAAAACTGAGATGTTCTGGACAAGCTGGCTGCTCTTTCAAGTCACAGGGAAGGTTAGTTACCTTAATGACCAGAAGATCCACCACCCTGGGGTCTGTGATGTGGGAATTCTTCATAAACATTTCTCGGACTTTATCCCGTCCTTGCTTCACAGTGATGTCTAGCTGGAATAACTGCACTAAAGAGAAAACACGATTCAGAGTAGAAATTACGTGGTTAAAACATGTTTTACAAAAACTGAGTCAATGGATAGTTACTGAAACACATAGAGGATGCCCATTCATTTCATTCAGCAAAAACTACTAGCCTGACCCTAAGCTGAGTACTTGAGCCTGGAGAGGAGTGAGCAGGCGCTTGTCTCAAGGAGCTTACAGTTTGTTTGAAGAGATAAGATCGCTGCATTTGAAAAGGCAATAGAGCAAGTTCTTTTTTTTTTTTTTTTTTCTTAAAGATTTTATTCGGAGCCCCGGTGGCTCAGCAGTTCGGTTTAGCGCCGCCTTCAGTCCGGGGCGTGATCCTGGAGTCCTGGGATGGAGTCCCAAGTCAGGCTCCCTGTATGGAGCCTGCTCCTCCCTCTGCCTGTGTCTCTGCTTCTGTCTCCCTCATGAATAAGTAAATATTTATTTATTCATGAGAGACACCGAGAGAGATAAATTCATGAGAGACACAGAGAGAGAGATCTTTATTTACTTATTCATGAGGGAGACAGAAGCAGAGACACAGGCAGAGGGAGGAGCAGGCTCCCCGCAGAGAGCCCGATGCAGGACCTGATCTCCAGGCCTGGGATCACGCCCTGAGCCAAAGGCAGACACCCAACCACTGAGCCACCCAGGTGTCCCAAGCACAGTTCAAGAGTATGAACAATCTGTTCAGATCCCAGCTCCGTCATATAGCCCATGTGATCCTGCATACAGTAATTTCTGTGTGCCTGAGAGTATTTGTTTCTCAGGGAAAGGAGGATGATAAGAGCACATATAACTCCAGAGCTACTGTGAGGATTCCATGAGATAAGGCAAGATGCTGAGAACAGTGCCTGGCATGCAATAAACTCTCAAATGTTAGATTATCATATACAACAATTGGCAAAAAATGGCAGGGTTGAAGTTAGCAAGCAGTGGGGCAGCTGTGTGGCTCAGCTGAACATCTCTCTCTTGATTTTGGCTCAGGTCATGATCTCAGGGCTGGGCTCCGCACTCAGCAGGGAGTCTGGGATTCTCGCCCTCCCCCAACTTACTATCTCTCTCTCCCTAAAATAGATAAACAAATCTTAAAAAAAAAAATTAATGAGCAACGATGTGGTGTAGGTTTGTGCAGCACATAAACTTAGACTGGAGGGAGACTGCCGAGTGTTTGCGGAGGGAGGGAAGGCTTCAGTCCAGCCAGCCATTACTACTACATCAGGTTACTTGGGGAAGGAGGGAGCTATGATGTAACACCTACTCTTTCAAATTCTCATCAGAGGGGCAGCCATCCAGGAATACAAACATAAAATTTCAATATTCAGCAATGCCTGGCTAAGTAGGTGCCTAAAATAGTGGCACAGCTTTAGAGACCTGGGACTGCAGATGAGGTGCATAAATATCCTTTGAAAATTAGGTTTTTGCCGTTTGTGTTCCCATCCTCTGGCAGTCAGCCTTCAGTGGATTGGCTAATGACGAGGGCATGACCAGGGCCTTATGTGGTAGGTGGAATTAGGAAGAGGGGACACAGGCCGAGGGCACAGCATAAACAAGGCTCATAGGCTAGAATGGGTGTGTGCTTGGGGAGACCTGTGTGCTCACTTAGTGAGGACACCTTGTATAGTTGGTCATTCCTGTGACATGTCCACTCTCAACTACAGAATTATCAGAACCAACTCTGGAAACCATGAGAGCTGTGGAGTGTTTGAATTAATCGACAGTAAAGTTTGAATCTCTAACTATACTGAATTTAGTGACAGTAACAGAAAAATAAAGCTTCTGCTGAGGGAAATACCAGGATATGCTGATCCCACCAGGGAATCGGTAAGAGCAGAACTCTCACAGGAGAAACTGCAGTCCAGCTTTACAGGTAAGTGTTAACAGAGGACAGAAAATCACTCACACTGGAAAGAATTCGGTATCCAGTGGTGTGTTGGAGCAGGCTGACTGGAGCCTCTCTTCACAAATCTGTCTTCACTGATTTGATAGCTTAAAATCAGCCATGGTGGCAGCACCAGCCCAAGGAAAAATTGTAAGTGCTATAAATCTGGATTCCCACCAGTCAGTATCATAGGAGGAATTTTATTTTATTTTTTTATTTGAGAGAGAGAGCGCAAGGAGGGAGAGGAGCAGAGAGAGAGAGGGGGCAGACTCCCCACTGAGTGGGAAGCCCCGTATGGAGCTCCACCCTGAGATCATGACTTGAGCCAAAACCAAGTCTGACACAACCAACTGTACCACCCAGGCGCCCCTCAGAGTAGTAATTTTAGAAAAGAGGAAACAAAGGGTAAGACAGATGCAAACTAACAAGGGTTTTGGAATTTAGAATCCTCCCATTTAGGGGGAGCCGAGGCCTATGGCACTGTGCATACTTGCCTCAAATCATACTATTGGTCCCTGAAAATGTGGGCCTGGAATCCAGGTTATTGCTTTTTAAATTACAATCTAGTACTTTCTAAAGGAAATGAATATGAGGACTCTTCCTCTGCTATCAGGGTGTCCCGTTCCTCCATTTTTATATTAGATTTCTGCCCAACCTTGGGAGTTAAAAAAAAAACAAGGTCCCTCTATCCTAGGGGAGCTGGTGTCCATCTGTTCCCACTCTTCATGATCTCCTGAACTACATGCCAGGGCGTTGGGTGGGTGAATTTTCTCCTTAGAAAAATGTTCACAAAGTTTTACTTACAATGTCAGGTCACAGATCTCTGAATGCCCGTCATCCCCAGTTACGAACCCTTGTCTCTGGAGAGACAGATTTCATAGCTTTGTCCTAATCTCCCCCCTCCCATCTCGACTCCTTGGACATGCTCCTCCACCAGTGAGAAAGGCTGTCGGAAGGCAAATAGCAAGAGCCTAAGCTGTCACCTGCTGAACCATTCTTTGGTTTAATTCGGTGGCTCTTAAACCAGCAATGAATGATTTTACCCACCAGAACATCTGGCAATGTCTAGAGGCATTTTTGGTTGTCATAACTACGAAGAGAATGCTACAGGCATCTAGTGGGTAGAGGCCAGAGATGATGTTAAACATCCTACAATGCACAGGACCGCCCCCACAACAAAGAATTATCCAGCACAAATGTGTGGAGAAGCCCTGGTATAAATTAATTGCAACTGCTCTTTCTCAACACTCAGTTTCTTGGCTTATTCTTTATTTTTTTTTTATTTTTTTTTTTTAAATTTTTATTTATTTATGATAGTCACACAGTGAGAGAGAGAGAGGCAGAGACACAGGCAGAGGGAGAAGCAGACTCCATGCACCGGGAGCCCGACGTGGGATTCGATTCCGGGTCTCCAGGATCGCGCCCTGGGCCAAAGGCAAGCGCCAAACCGCTGCGCCACCCAGGGATCCCCTTGGCTTATTCTTTAAATTCTGAATATTGGGGATCCCTGGGTGGCTCAGCAGTTTAGCGCCTGCCTTTGGCCCAGGGTGTGATCCTGGAGTCCCGCATCAGGCTCCCTGCATGGAGCCTGCTTCTCCCTCTGCGTCTCTCATGAATAAATAAAAATCTTTAAAAATAATAATAATAAATTCCGAATATTTAAATTGCAACTTTGAAAAAATCTACGAGGTGCAAAAGGAAGGTATCAGAATGCCCCTTTTGGATGACAAGGCCTTTCCCACAGCCTCCGTGTGTTTTTCCAAAGTTAATGTCAAGGTTGTCCTAAGTCAGGAAGGTTCTGATGTATTAAGAGGCACAACATGGATGTCCTCAGCTATTTGCTCCCATTCACCTTAGGGGCATTCATACTAGGCACTGGGATATCCTGAGATGGGAGGGCAGCATGGTGTACTCCAGAAGAGCATGGGATCAGGGGTCAAAGCAGCCAGGAAAGGTCTCCCCATCATTGTTGTTTCCTCATCTAAAGGTCTCCCCATCATTGTCTGTTTCCTCATCTAAAAAATAGGGAAGAAAAGAACCTCAAAGCAAATTCCTTTATAAGAACATGACAAAGGGATGCTTGGGTGGCTCAGGGCATGATCCTGGGATCACAGGGAGCCTGCTTCTCCCTCTGTTTATGTCTCTGCCTCTCTCTGTCTCTCATGAATAAAAAATTAATCAATTAATTAATAAAAAAGAACATGACAAAAATCAAGTGGCAACATCTTGTAAGCAATACAGCTACTATAAATGTTAGTTGTTAGACATTTCAGCATTTACTCCCCAAACATCTATTTTAGGTTTTAGTGGTCTGGATATAGGCCTGTCTTCCTGACTAGACCCTCACACCCCTGAGGGTAGGGTTTGTTATCTCTGGGCATCTAGTACTGGCCCTGTAGTACAAGAGATACCTAATGAGATGGAAATTAAATGAACGGTTTCTACAGAAAGTCTCCTGTTTTGTAACCAGCAAGCCTCATGTAATATTTTTTCAAGGGAGGGTTTCGAAGGAAGGTAGTCCTGTCACTGTGCTCCCAAGCAAGGCAGCCATCAGCCAGGCAAATGGCTGCTGTACACTGGGTCCCATGAAATTCAGGGAAACTAGAGCAGGAGCAAAGAGCCAGGTTTAACAGCCGGATAGTCAGAGTCTGAAGTCTGGCTCCTCTCCTTACTAATGGTGTCATGAGACAGAATTAGGTGCTTCAGTTTGCTTATCTGTAAGACAAGGAAACAATAAGAACCTACCCTAAGATAACACAATGTAATGCATTTAGCATAGTGCTGGGCCATATCTATGCAACTCAATAAATGTTAGTTATTATAAATGCTATTACATATTCCCAATTCGTGGTGTGGTTCCTCAGCTGGAGTCCCCAGTGATAGACAGCATGACATCAGTGCAGAGACAGGCCTGAGCAGCTGACCAGCTGCGGACCACCAACCTTCCCTCTAAGAGGGGTACCACCTCTTTGACACACCCCCCCCCCCTCCTTCCCCTGCTCTCTAGGTTCCTCCTTTCAGGACCCTTCTGACTTTGGGACAATCTTCTCAAACAGTATCTGAGGGGAATTCCTGAGAGGGGATAGTTTAAAAACTGCTGGGTCCTAACTGGATAACTGATCTATCTTCAACTCAGTCATCGATTTTTTTTAAACCCTTTGCAAACCATTCTTCCTGCATCTGGGTCTTGTTTCCCCCCTCTAATTTCCCTCTGCAAAACGAAAGGGTTCTGGGCACTCAGAGAAGTATTCTGCTAGGCAAACATTGTTTTTAAATACCTGCAATTGAATACCCCCCCCCCCCAACACACAGATGCAGACACTTGCTCTGTCACTTCCCTAAGCCTATTATCCACCTGTACCCTGAAGGTATTTAAATTTGCAGTCGCTGAACCAGCAGTTCACTTAAGTTTCTCCCTCCCTAAGCATCCTGTGGGTCTAAGTTCTGGTCATCAGCAACATCTCAAAAAGTCAGGATAGGGACACTGTGGAGCAGACTGTTCTCATACATCAAAAAGCTGGATTCTGCAGGAGGCTCCCGCTATAAACAATAATTAATAACCATAAAAACAACAGTAGCACCCACATTCAAAGAGTGCCTAAGCAATGTAGATATATTACCTATTGAATTAGGGCCACTCTCTGAAGAAGGTACTATCATGATGCTCATTTCACAGATAAGGAAATTGAGGCACAGCAGGATGAAATAGTTTGGTTAAGGTTATAGGGCTAAGGGGCAAGGTCTGGAGGCAAGGCTCGGTGACCACCTCCTCGTATTGCTTCTCATACACAGGCAGGGAGGTGGCGGCGCAGGGGGGGGCCAGGGTGCTCTAGCTTCCCTCGCACACTAGCAGTGACGGTCCACATCGCAACACTAAAGCAATCAACAAAATAACAAAATATCGACTGCCCCTGACGTTTGTTCTGCCCTTGACAGTTTGGGTGGGATTTCCCCCAATCTCGCTCTCATCGGGTACACTGCGCAGCTTTCAGGGGGGAATGCCAAGATAGGAAAACGGCATCTCTGCACCCAGGGAGCGGGGGCAGGGGAGCGGGAGGAGCCCACCTCCCCCGGACTGCAGAAGGCCCCCCTGACTTAGCTGGCTGACCTTGGGAAAGTCACTTGCCGCCTTGGTGCTGGGTTTTCCTGCGGGGGATGTGGGAAACAGATGATCGCTTAAGTCCTATGGGGGCATCCATTCGCCTCCAGGTGCCTCACCTATAAAATGAGCACGTCACCCACCGTCCCTGTTCTCCCTCCGAGGGCTCTGCTAAGAATTACGGGGGACAAACGGGCCAAAGCGCCCCGGACGCCTGGAAGCGCCGTTCAGATGCAAGGCACGGCTGGTCTGAGTCCGGCGCCGCCGCCGGGTCGGGTCCACCAATGCTCGGGTGACCCTCCTCCCCTGAAGCACCCGGAGTCGCCTGTGCCCAAGTCGGTGACCTCAGCTCGTCCCGGGAGAAACGGGAGGCCAGGACGGCTGCGACCTTGGGCGGCTGCATCCGGAGCCCCGCGTGCGCCGCGGCGTCTCACCAGTGTTCGGCACCTCTCGATACCAGGCGCGGTACAACTCGCGCACCCTCCGCTTGGCTTCGTTCATGTCCCGACTAAAAATGGGCTTCACTGAAGTGGGAGCCGCAACAGCCGCCCGCCGGAGGCCGCTCGCCGCCATCTTGCCAAAGAAACCACCTCCCGCGAGGGCGGCCCAAGGAGGAAAGTCTTTTCTCATTGGCTAAAACCGAAAGACACTCCCCTAAATGCCACAGGTAGGCGGGAGGATAGCTGGCGAGGCCCTCTGATTGGCTGGGAGGCCTCCCTCTCTGGGTGGGACGGCCGCTGGGGGCTGCGCATGCCCAAGAGCAGAAACCCCCCGGCTCAGCCGTAGGCGGGCCTAACCTTGGCCTAACCGCGCCGCCAGGGGCCGCTCGAGCGCCAGACTGCCAGCGTCCCGCCGCCACCTGCCCGCCGCGCTCCCTCGGCTGCGCCCGTGGGTGCGTGGGCCTCGCGGAGCTTCGCGGGCCGGCTTCCCCGGGGGGGGGGGCCGCGGGAGCCCTTCATGGCGCCTGGGCTTCCGTGGTGCTGGCCTGGCCGCTGTGCGGTTTTTCCGCAGCAACATTTTCTTTCCTCTTTGTCTTTTTAAATTTTTTTTATTGGAGTTCAATTTGCCAACATATAGCCTGTCACCCAGTGCTCGTCCCGTCAAGTGCCCCCCTCAGTGCCCGTCGTCTTTTCTCCCCCGTTAAACCGACTCTTCGGAAGCGCTGTGCGGCCGCCGGAGCGCTTTCCCGGCCGTCGGCTTCTTGGCGCTTCTCCGCATCCCGGGAAGGTAGGTTCTATCATCAGCCCCGTCTTAGACAACAACGTTTTCACCCTAAACTGTGCATCTCTGTGAAAAGCAGCCCAGAGATGGGGAGCTGGAAGGAGCCTTGGCATCGACCACCCCGGGGCTCCCGCTGGCACTTTTCTACGGAGGTTGCCTCTGACCCTCCGGGCGCCCCGCCCCGGGCGTGCGAAGGGAGAGAGAACAGCTGGGTCGGGAGGTTCCGTTAGCCCAGGAAGCGGGGGGCAGGGTCTAGGTCACGTGCCCCGCGGAGCCCCCTACGCGCGCCCCGCGCCGCCCCAGAGACCTGGCGGGCCGCTCCGGAGCGAGCTGCGGTGCGAGTCCGAGGCAGCGCGGAGCATGGCCTGCGTCTCTCCAAGGCTTCCCCGTTTTAAAGGGAATGAATGAATGAATGAATGAATGAATGAATAACCGATCTGTCCCTATATTACGTTTTAAAATGTTTCTGTGCGTTGAAGTGAGTTATGCTTTAAAAAGAGGCACGCACCACATACAAGTTTAGAGCATGAGCCCAGGGGGCTCAGCGGTTGGGCGCCGCCTTCGGCCCAGGGCCTGATCCTGGAGACCCCGAATCGAGTCCCGCGTCGGGCTCCCCGCATGGAGCCTGCTTCTCCCTCTGCCTGTGTCTCTGCCTCTCTCTCTCTCTGTGTGTCTCTATGAATAAATAAAATCTAAAATAAATAAATAAATAAATAAATAAATAAATAAATAAATAAATAAATAAATAAATAAATAAAGCATGATAATAAAATCATGAAACTTTGAAACCACGACCTTAAGAAGTGGTGATAGAGTTAAGGTTTGTATAAGCCTTACTGTGTTCTTCTCCACAGCCACTGGTCTAAGTTCTCCAGGCACACTCACATTTTCATGCAGCACAACACACCTGTGGGATAAGCCCTGTTAGACCCACTTTACAGATGAGAAAACTAAGACCCAGATGAAGTTACTTGACGTGGTTGGTCTGAGACACAGGTAGCTGGCCCCGGAGTCCGTGTTCTCTCTCTCACAGCACCTACATCAAAATACTTACCTGCCGGGGATCCCCAGGTGGCTCAGTGGTTTAGCGCCGCCGTCAGCCCAGGGTGTGATCCTGGAGACCCATGGAGTCCCATGTCAGGCTCCCTGCATGGAGCCTGCTTCTCCCTCTGCCTGTGTCTCTGTCTGTCTGTCTCTCTCTGTGTCTCTCATGAATAAATAAATGAACTCTTTAAAAAAACAAAATACCTACCTGTCTAATTCTAACCCCATCCATGCTCCTGCCTCCTCCAGGAGTAGCCACTATCATGAATTTAGAGCTTAAGATTCCTTTTCTGGGCACCTGAGTGGCTCAGTTGGTTGAGCATCTGTCTTCAGGTCAGGGTCCTGGGATGGAGCCACGCATCAGGCTCCCTGCTCAGCAGGAAGTCTGCTTCTTCCTCTGCCTTTCACCCCACTTATGCTCTATCTCTCTCAAATAAATACATAAGTAAAATCTTAAAAAATATATTTCTTTTCATTGAAAAAGAAAATGGCCACTAAAACAACCCACAAACTGGGAGAACATATTTGCAAATCATATATTCCATAAAGTACTTGTATCTAGAATATATAGAAGACTCTACAACTCAATAATAAGAAGACAAACAGCCCTATTTAAAAACAAGCAAAGGAGTGCCTCAGTCCCTTAAGCAAATACCTTGGGCTCAGGTCATGATTCCATGGTCCTGGGATCTAGTCCCAAGTCAAGCTCCCGGCTCAGCGGGGAATCTGCTTCTCCCTCTACTCCCCAATGCTTGTGATCTCTCTCTCTCTCTCTCTCATAAATAAAATCTTTCAGAAAAATTAAAACGAGCAAGGTTTTTGGCTGCCTCAGTCAATAGAGATTCTGACTCTTGATCTCAGGGTTCAAGTCCCATGTGGGTGTGGAGACTACTTTAAAAAAAAAAAAAAAGTAAAGGCACCCAGTGGCAGGGAGGATGTGGAGCAGAAAAAACTCTCATTGCTGGTGAGAATGCCGAATCAGCCACTTTAGTAGTCAGTCTGGCAGTTTCTTAAATTAAAAAAAAATTATTTATTCATCAGAGACACACAGAGAGGCAGAGACACAGGCAGAAGGAGAAACAGGCTCCCTGTGGGAACCCCGTGTGGGACTGGATCCCAGGACCCCAGGATCCCGACCTGAGCTGAAGGCAGACGCTGAACCACTGAGCCACTCAGGTGTCCCTAAAAAAAACTTTTAAGTTAATTGTAGGTTCGTATGTATAAGAAATACTATAGAAAGTTCAGGTGTGCCTTGTACTCAGTTTCTCTTGATGGTAGCATATTGTAAAAGGATAGAACAATATAACAACCAGGATATTGACATTAATATAGTCAAGATGCAAAACATTCCCATTAAGGGGCACCTGGGTGGCTCAGTTAGTTAAGCATGTGCCTTTGGCTCAGGTCACGATCCCAGGGTCTGGGGATCGAGCCCAGCATTGGGCTCCCTGCTCAGTGGGGAGCCTGCTTCTCCCTCTCCTCCTTGCTTGTGATTTCTCTTGCTATCTCTCTCTCTTTCTCAAATAAATAAACAAAATCTTAAAAAAAAAAAAGTGTTCCCATTACAAGGATCCCTCAAGTTTCCCTCCCCCAACCCCCTTCTTAGTCCCTGATAAAGGGCCTCCATTTTGGTCATTTTGAGAATGTTTTGCAGTGGAATTATACAGTATATGACCTTTTGGATAGGCTGGGCCATATGTTTGCTGCATATTTAGTTGTTTTAAGAAACTACAAAATTATTTTCCAGAGTGACTAAACCATTTCACATTCCCATTAGCAGTGTGTAAGTGGTCCAGGTCTCCATATCCTGTTCTGCATTGGTGCAACAACTTTTGTATCTTAGCCATTCTGATAGATGTGTAGGGACACCTCATTGTTTTATTTATTTATTTATTTATTTATTTATTTATTTATTTATTTACTTACTTATTTACTTATTTATTTTTATTTACTTATGATAGACATAGAGAGAGAGAGGCAGAGACACAGGCAGAGGGAGAAGCAGGCTCCGTGCTGGGAGCCCGACATGGGACTCCATCCCGAGACTCCAGGATCCGCCCTGGGCCAAAGGCAGGCGCGAAACTGCTGAGCCACCCAGGGATGCCCATCATTATTGTTTTAATTTGCATTTTTCTTATGGGTAGTGATGTTGAACATCTTTTTATTTATTTTTTAAAGGTTTTATTTATTTGAGAGACAGAGAGAGAGCATGCATGAGCACTGGGAAGGGGTAGAGGGAGAAGCACACACCCTACTGAGCAGGGAGCCTGATGCAGGACTGATCCCAGGACTCTGGGATCATGACCTGAGCCAAAGGTAAATGCTTCACTGACTGAGCCACCCAGGTGCCCCACTGAACATATTTTTAAATGCTAATTTCCTGTTCCCTCTATTGAAATGTCTTTTGTCCATTTTCAAATTAAATTGTTTGTGTACTTGTTGAATTTTAAGAGTTCTTTATATATTCTAGATACTTGTCCTTTGTCAGATATGTTTGCAAATACTTCCTCCCACTCTTTAGCTTGTCTTTTCGTCTTTTCAACAGGGTCTTTCACAGAGCAAAAGTGTTTAATTTTGATGAAAGCCAATTTATCAGCTTTTCCTTTTATGGATTGTGCTTTTGTTGCCAAATCAAAGAATCCTTTGTCAAGCCCTAGGTTCAGAAGATTTTCTATGATTTTTTTTTCCTAAAAGCTTTATGTTTTACAGTTAAGTTCATGGTGCACTTTGAATTAAATTTTATATAAGGTGTTATTTCTTTTTTTTTTAGATTTATTTATTTATTTATTTACTTACTTACTTATTTATGGGGGGGAGAGAGAGAGAGAGAGAGGCAGAGACACAGGAGGAGGGAGAAGCAGGCTCCATGCCGGGACCCCGACGTGGGACTCCATCCCGGGACTCCAGGATCGCGCCCTGGGCCAAAGGCAGGCGCTAAACCGCTGAGCCACCCAGGGATACCCTATATAAGGTGTTAGATTTAAGTTAAGGTTTTGGGGTTTTCTTTTTTCCCCCTTTTTGGTGCTGTTGTTGTTTTCTGCTGGTGAATGTCCAATTACCCCAGAACCATTTGTTGAAAAGCCAGTTTTCCTCCACTTAATTGCTTTTGCAGCTTTATCAGAAAGAAGTCAGTTGAGCGGTGCCTGAATGGCTCAGTGGACTGAGCAGCTGACTTTTGGTTTGGGCTCAGGTCTTGGTCTCAGGGTCCTGGGATGGAGCCCTTTATCCAGCTCCATGCTCAGTGGGGAGTTTGCTTGAGGATTCTCTCTCTCTCTCTCTCTCAACTCTCTCTCTCTCTGCCTCCCCACACCCTGAATCTCAAATAAATAAATAAATCTGAAAAAAAAATAGGCAGTTGAGCATGTCAGTTGGTGACAAATTGCCTTAATTGTCCTGTATCTGTGAATTTCCTGATTTCTCCCAGCATCCTTGAAGGATGTTTTCATTGACCAAGGGATTCTGGGTTGACATTTCAACACTTGAAAATGTTGTGTCACGTCCTTCTGGCCTCTATAGCCTCTGATGAGAAATCAGCTATCATTGGAGTTGACATTTCCATATAGGTAAGGTGTTGTTTTTCTCTGGCTGCTCTCACAACTTCTCCTTTACTTATTTTTCATTAGTTTGACTAGGATATTTCTTGGATTTATCTTGTTTGGAATTCACTTGGCTTCTTGAATCTGTCATTTTTATGCCTTCTACCAAATTTGGAAAGTTTTCTTTGAGTATTTGTTCAGTCCTGCCCTCTCTTCTCCTCTCCTGAGATTCTCATAACATGATGCTTGATCTTTTTAAATAGTCCCACAAGTCCCTGATGCTCTGCTCATTTTTAACTCAGTCTGTTTTTCTGGTTCAGATTGGACAGTTTCAGTTGTTCTACTTTCCAGTTCACTGCTTCTTTCCTGCCCTCTCCTTTCTGCTTTTGAACTCATTCACTAGCTTTTAATTTCAGTTTTTGTTCTAAAATTTCTGTTGGTTCTTCCTTTAATCTAATGTTTCTTTGCTGAGACTCTATTTTTAAATTTTGTTTCAGGGATCCCTGGGTGGCGCAGCGGTTTGGCGCCTGCCTTTGGCCCAGGGTGCAATCCTGAAGACCTGGGATCGAATCCCACGTTGGGCTCCCGGTGCATGGAGCCTGGTTCTCCCTCTGCCTGTGTCTCTGCCCCTCTCTCTCTCTCTCTCTCTCTGACTATCATAAATAAATAAAAATTAAAAAAAATTTTGTTTCAGGCATGTTCATAAATGCTTGTTGAAACATGTTTATGCTGAGGTGGGCACTTGATGGGATGAGCACTGGGTGTTATTCTATATATATGTTGGCAAATTGAACACCAATAAAAAATAAATTTATTTAAAAAAAGAAACATGTTTATGATAGCTGCTTTAAAATCTTTTCAGAGAGGGCACCTGGGTGGCTCAGTGGTTGAGCATCTGCTCAGGATCCTGGGGTCCTGGGATCGAGTCCTGCATCGGGCTCCTCACTGGGAGCCTGCTTCTCCCTCTGCCTGTGACTCTGCCTCTCTCTGTGTGTCTCTGCCTCTCTCTGTGTGTCTCATGAATGAATGAATGAATGAATGAATGAATAAATAAAATTGTTTAAAAAAATAAAATTTAAAAAAAAAATAAAATAAAATCTTTGCAGAGAATTCTGCCTTTGTCATCTTGCTATTGGCATCTGGTGATTGTTGTTGTGCTGTCCAGTTTAAGCTGTTCCTTGTTTTTGGTATGATGCGTGATTTTTTATTGAAACCTGGACACTGGGTATTATGTCATGAGATCGTAAGTCTTATTTAAATTTTTATTTTATTATTTTATTTATTTATTTATGATAGTCACACACACACAGAGAGAGAGAGAGGGAGGCAGAGACATAGGCAGAAGGAGAAGCAAGCTCCATGCACCGGGAGCCCGACGTGGGATTCGATCCCGGGTCTCCAGGATCGCACCCTGGGCCAAAGGCAGGCGCTAAACCGCTGCGCCACCCAGGGATCCCTTAAATTTTTTTTTAAATGGTAGCTTCCTTTGACACCACTCCAGCAGGGGAAATGCAGGAGCTTCCTTGTTACTACAAGTGGGGGAAGAAGTCCAGGTCCCCCCCCTCGGCCCCAGTTGACACTAAGGCGGTGGTGTCCTCATAGTAATTAGCAGGACTGGGAGTTCTGGGGCTCCCTACAGATTTTCCCCTTATATGTCTCTGGTTGGTAAGGGTAGGAGTGCCTCATTGCTGCTCCTCCCCTGTAGCTTCCACAGACATCACGGGAGGGAGGTTTCTTTTTACCTGTGGTCAAAGGTGAAAGTCCTGACTCTTTGCTAGGTCTCCTCTGACAGCATTCAGTAGGAAGGGGTGGTGCATCTGAGTGCAGGACCCCATGTGACCACATATGTTACATGCCTATGAAGCTGGCTCTGAAAATAACCCTATAACTTCAGGTTGCTGCCTAGAGAGGGAGATTTTACAAAGCCCGGACCTAAATCACAGTCATCAGAAGCAGAGAGTAGTGGACAGGAGTCTGGATCTCAGGCCCTGCCACTTACCCACTGTGTGACCACGGCGTGCATTTCCCAGACATTTCCTGAGTGCTGTTCTCTACCAGCCATTGAGCCACATACAGAGGACATAGAAAAGATGGAGACATAGTCCTTGCCCTCATAAGCCTTGGCACTGCACAGACTCCTGGAATCTGGATCTTTTTTCACTAAGTGCCTCCAAGATCATTCTCTCAGTTTATCTAGATCTGATTCATTTTAGTTCTGGAAAGAATCTGTAATGTGGATATATCGTATTTTTTTTTCAGCTGTTGCCCTATTCATAGATCTAGGTGGTTTCCATCTCTGTGCTATTAAAAACAAGGGACATCCTCATTCACGCCTCATTTTGAAGCCTGAGTGGATATTTCTCTGGAACAGATTACGAGAAGTAGAATTGCTGAGGCAAAAGGTACATGCACTTTAAATAGATATTGCCAAATTGCCCTCTCCTCAGTGATTGAAAGTACTGGTTCCTTGCACCCACTTCAACATTTAATATTATGTTTTGCCAACTTGAGGGAAGAAAATAATAGCTCTTCTTCTTTTTTTTTTAATTTTCATGATTACTAATGAAATTGAGCTTCTTTTCATGTGGCCACTTTTATTTCTTCATATTCTTTGCCCGTTTTTCTATTTCATTGTCCTATTGATTTGCAGGAATGTCTTTTTGTCATCTCTGTATTAATCTTTGTCATATATGCTGCAAATACCCCATTTCTTTTCTTATATTTTATTTATTTATTTGAGAGAGAGAGGGAGAGAGCACAAGCAGAGGGAGAAGCAGACTCCCCGCTGAGCAGGGAGCCCGATGCAGGGCTCAATTCCAGGACTCCAGAATCATGACCTGAGCCGAAGGCAGCTGCTTAACCAACTGGACCACACAGGCAACCCACAAATACCTCATTTCTTGTTTTCAACTTTGTTGATGGCTTTGTCATGTAGAAGTTTAAATATTTATGTAGTATAAGTATTTTGTGTCTTAGTTTTTTAAATTTCTTTATTTAAAAAGATTTTTAAAAATGGATTTCTTCCTGAGAGACACAGAGAGAGAGGCAGAGACACAGGCAGAGGGAGGTGCCAGCTCCCCGCGGGGAGCCTGGCATGGGACTTGATCCCAGGACCCCGGGATCATGACCTGAGCCGAAGGCAAGATGCTCAACCACTGAGCCATGCAGGTGCCCCATGTCTTAGTTAGTTTCATTTTTTTTTTTTAAGATTTTACTTATGTATTTGAGAGAGAGTGCATGGGCATAAGGAAGGAGGGGCAGACGGAGAGGGAGAGAGAGAATCTCAAGCAGACTCATACTGAGCTCAGAGCCTGATGCAGGACTCAATCCCACAATCCTGAGATTGTGATCTGAACTGAAAACAAGAATTGGATCCTGAACCGACTGAGCCACCCAGATGTCCCTGTGTCTTCTTTGTAAGATCTCTTCTCTTCCAAGGTTGCAAACATATTCTTTTTAAAAATACTTTGATAGAGTCTTTTTGAATGGTTTTATTTATCGTGGAATGCTAATCGACTATGTAGGGTCATAAAAACACACTGCTAGTAAGGGTGTACTTGTGGTTAGACTTTAGGGCACTGGGGCTCCCCAATCCTGCTGAGTATTAGTTACCAGCCATCCAGCACTTCTCTGGCCAAGAATTCTCACATTTATTGCTCTCATGTGGTGGCTGATGCCTCTATTTTTGTCTGCTTGTCACAGGTGGGGAGAGAGGAAGTCCGTCACCTTTTTACTTCACATGAGTCCCCCAACCAGTTATCCTGATAGGGTCTGTCCTGCTCCCCAGATCTATCACTCTGACGAACAGTCGGAGGCCCCCACCCCCACTCCTGGAGACTGTCCACCTTTCAGGATGACGCTCTCTGCCTATATTTTGTGCTTTGATTTTCTCTGCCAACCTCATTCTGTGTGCCTTCCATTTTTGAGGGATTCCTTGTAGCTTCTAGTTTAACAGGACACCAAGTTTTGTTTTCCAGCACTCTTACGGATTTATTTTCAGCTCTACTTTCTTTTACCTCTGTGGTATGAGGTAGGAGGGAGGGGCAGTATACACAGGTGGCAGTCTGATGTCTGGGCCCAGTGACCACTGAGAACTTTCCTATTGTCCTGACACTGAAAGCTGACGAGGTTCAGCATAGAATTCTTTTTTTTTTTTAAACTGTTTTTTTTTTTTTTTAGGATTTTCTTTATTATTCATGAGAGACGCAGAGAGTGAGAGAGAGAGAGCGGCAGAGACACAGGCAGAGGGAGAAGCAGGCTCCATGCAGGGAGCCTGATGTGGGACTGATCCTGGGACTCCAGGATCACTCCCTGGGCCAAAGGCAGGCGCTCAACCACTGAGCCACCCAGGGATCCCCAGCATAGAATTCGTGAGTCACAATCATTTTCCCTCAAAACTCTGTAAAAAATGACTCCACTAACAGTATTGCATGTGGCAATTCTGATACCATTCTGCTTCTTTATTCTTTTTAGGTAATCTGTCCCCTTCTCCTTGCCCCGCTTTAATGTTTTCTTTTCTTTCTTTCCTCTTTTTTGATGATTTTATTTTTTAAGTAATCTCTACACCCAACATGGGGCTCTAGCTCACAGCCCTGAGGTCATCCCTGTCTAGCTCCACTGACTGAGCCAGCCAGGTGCCCCCTTAATGTTTCCTTTATCCTGAAAATTCAAAAATCTTATCAGAGTATGTATACTTAGTGTGACTTTTGCCTCATTAAGTTAATCTAAGAGCATGTGATTAAGAGTCAAGGCTTCCTTTACTTTGAGGAACATTTGTATCTTGTGGCTTCTCCCTCAACTCTCTTCTTCTTGATATTCTTATTTGATGACTGTTTAGTCTTCTAGGTTTGTCCTCCACATCTCTCAACGTTTCTATTCCTTATCTTTTGCTTCTGTCTACTGGGAGAATTTCTTGGTGTTTTAATGCACTTATTCACTTTTTTAAAATAGTGTCCAATCATTTTTATTTTTATTTATTTATTTTTTAAATTTTATTTATTTATTCATGAGATACAGAGAGAGAGAGAGGCAGAGAGACAGGCAGAGGGAGAAGCAGGCTCCATGCAGGGAGCCCGATGTGGGAATCAATCCCGGGACTCCAGGATCACACCCTGGGCCAAAGGCAGGCGCCAAACCGCTGAGCCACCCAGGGATCCCCCAGTCATTTTTATTTTTATTTTTTAAAGATTTTATTTATTTATTCATGATAGTCACACAGAGAGAGACAGAGAGGCAGCGACACAGGCAGAGGGAGAAGCAGGCTCCATGCACCGGGAGCCCGACATGGGATTCGATCCCGGGTCTCCAGGATCGCGCCCTGGGCCAAAGGCAGGCGCCAAACCGCTGCGCCACCCAGGGATCCCCCACAGTCATTTTTAAATAGTATCACAGTTTCCATTTCATTTTAAAATTTAGGGCACCTGGCTGGCTAAGTTGGTGGAGCATGCAACTCTTGATCTCAGGTTCATGAGTTCAAGCCTCATGTTGGGTGTGGAAATTACTTAAAAAATAAAATTTAACTGTTGGCCTGGATCAGGATAAATTTTGTATTACTGTCTGCCCCAGTTTCATAGATACAATATCTTCTTGAATATTGTTGAGAATACAAAATCGGGCATTTCTACCTTTCTTCTGTTTGGGGGGTAACAATTGCATAGGAGACCGTGGATTGCTCTTATCATAGTGCTGAATTCCTCCTTTTTTAAAAAAAAAAGATTTTATTTATTCATTCATGAGAGACACAGAAAGAGGCAGAGACATACACAGAGGGAGAAGCAGACTCCTCACAGGGAGCCCGATGTGGGACCCGATCCCCGACCCCTGGCATCATGCTCCAAGCCAAAGATAGACGCTCAACCACTGAGCCACCCAGGTGTCCCTAAATTCCTCCTTTTGGACTACCATTTCTTTTCATAGGACTTTTTTTTTTGTTTCTTATCCTTACAAAGAAATATCCATGTTTGTTCTGTTAGGAGCTGAGGTGAGTTCTTTTTTTTTTTTTTTAAGATTTATTTATTTATTCATGAGAGACACAGAGAGAGAGAGAGGCAGAGACACAGGCAGAGGGAGAAGCAGGCTCCATGCAGGGAGCCCGACGTGGGACTCGATCCCGGGTCTCCAGGAACAGGCCCTGGGCTGAAGGCAGCGCTAAACCACTGAGCCACCCAGGCATCCCTGTGAGTACCTGTTTAAATGTTTAAAGAATGTTTACAATGTTTAAGTCTGGAGGAAGAAACAATAGAACAGTTCATATAACTTTACTCTTTTTTATTTATTTATTTTATTATTATTATTTTTTAAGATTTTATTTATTTATTCATGAGAGACAGGGAGAGAGAGAGAGAGAGAGGCAGAGACACAGGCAGAGGGAGAAGCAGGCTCCAGGCAGGGAGCCTGATGTGGGACTCCATTCCGGGTCCCCAGGATCACGCCCTGGGCTGCAGGCGGCGCTAAACTGTTGCGCCACTGGGGCTGCCCAACTTTATTCTTTTTTAAAAAATAGTTTATTTTATTTATTTGAGAGAGAGCGAGAGAGCATGAGCAGGGGTAGGGGCAGCAGAGGAGAGGCAGAGGGAGAAGCAGGCTCCCCACCGAGCAGGGAGTCCAACATGGGGCTTGATCCCAGGATCCTGGGATCATGACCTGAGCCAAAGGCAGATGCTTAACCAACTGAGCCACCCAGGAGCCCCTAACTTTATCTATCTATCTATCTATCTATCTATCTATCTATCTATCTATCTATCTATATCTATCATTTTTAAACTTTACTCTTTTTAAAACCAGCTTTGTTAGGACGCCTGGGTGGATCCTGGGCCTGATTCTGGGATGCTGGATCGTGTCCCACATCGGGTTCCCTATGTGGAGCCTGCTTTTCCCTCTGCTTGTGTCTCTGCCTCTCTCTCTGTGTCTCTCATGAATAAATAAATAAAATCTTAAAAAAATAATTTAAAAAACCCCAACTTTGTTGATATATAATTGGCATATGACAAACTGTTGATATTGGTATTTGATACACTAATATATACTTGTGAACCATCATCACAATTAGGAGAATGGGCATATCTGTCACCCTCCTTATTTTTTTAAGATTTTATTTATTGGGCATCTTAAATAAAGATTTTATTTATTTATTTATGACAGACACACAGAGAGGGAGAGAGAGAGGCAGAGACACAGGCAGAGGGAGAAGCAGGCTCCATGCAGGGAGCCCAACATGGGACTTGATCCTAGGTCTCCAAGATCCAGCCCCAGGTTGAAGGCGGCACTAAACCACTGAGCCACCTGGGCTGCCCATATCTGTCACCCTTAAAAGCTTTCTTGTGTGCTTCTGTAATCCCTCCATCCCATCTCTCCCTCTTTGTACCTCCATGAAAACGTATTTGTATTTTGTAAAATTTTACATAAATGTAATCCTACAAAAAAAATGTAATCCTACAGTATATATCCTTCTCTTTTGTCTTTCACTTAGCAAAATTATTTTGAGATTCATCCTTATTGTTATGGCAATCAGTAGTCCATTCCTTTTATTGCTGAATATATCCCTTTATATGGATAACGTGTTTATTTATTCACCTGTTCATGGATATTTTGGTTGTTTCCACTTTGGGGCTATTACAAATAACTTGTTGCAAATATTTGTGCATGTGTCATTGTATGGATTACATCTTCTTTCTTGGGTAAATACCTAGAGTGGAATGGTAGGTAACACAGCAGGTGTATGTTTTTATTTTTAAAGAAAGTTTCAAACTCCAAAACCTAGTCATATAATTTTATATTCATATCAGCAATGCTTGAGAATCTCAGTGATTCCACTTCTCATCAATGTTTGGAAAGGTCAGTCTTTTTAAGACAGTCTTTATTAGGTATGTAGTGATATCTTACAGTTTTAATTTGCATTTTCTTTCACTAGTGACTAGTAATGTTGAGAGTTTTTTCATGTGCTTATTTACCAATTGTTTATCTTCTGTGGTGAAATATCTGTTTAATTCTTTTGCCCATTTAAAAAATCAGTTGTTTGTTTTCTTACTATTGAGTCTGAGTTCTTTATATATTCTAGACAGATCTCTTTATTAGATATATAATTTGCAAGTATTTTCTCCCAAGTCTGTGGCTTGTCTTTCTATTCTCTTAATAGTATCTTTAGAAGAGAAGAGGTAAATTTTGATGAAGTCAGGACACCTGGGTGGCTCAGCAGTTAGGGGTCTGCCTTTGGCTCAGAGCATGATCCCAGAGTCCCGGGATCGAGTCCTACATTGGGCTTCCTGTATGAAGACTGCTTCTCTTTCCTTGCCTGTGTCTCTGTTTCCCTCTCTGTGTCTCTCATGAATAAATAAATAAAATCTTAAAAAAACAAACTTAAAAATTTTGATGATGTCCAGCATATCATTTTTTTTATATGATGGATCATGATTTTGGTGTTATTTCAAGACTTCTTTGCTTAATCCATAGCCTCAAATATTTTCTCCTGTTTTCTTCTAGGAATTTTATAGTTTTAGGTTTTAGATTTAGGTCTATGATTAATTTTGAGTTACTTTTATACATGGTATGAGATGAGAATCAAAGTCCACTTTTTCCTATATAAATACCCAGTTTCTTCAGGACCATTTATTGAAAAGACTTTCCTCCAATGAATTACATTTGCACCTTTGTCTAAAATCAATTGACAGTATGAGGATCTGCTTTTGTCCCATCTCTCTTGATATCAACAATTTCATATTGTTTTGATTGCTGACCAACTTTGTTTTTTTCAAAATTGTTTGGCTATTTTGGGTTCTTCACATTTCTATATGCACCTTTGATACAGCATATTGGGTTTAACAACCAAAAAACGCTGTAAGTTTTGTTACAATTATGCTGAATTTATAGATCAATTTGAGGATGGAATCCGACCCATGACCATGGTATATCTCTTCACTTATGTAGGTCTTCCTTAATTTCTCTCAGCAGTGTTTTGCAGCATTTAGTGTACAGATCTTGCACACATCTTTTGTCAAGTTTTCCCCTATATAAATGGTATTTTGAAATATTTCAATTCCCAAATATTCATTGCTATTATATATAATTGAATTTTAAAAGTTTTTTTGAATTAAAAAATTTTTTAAACATACTTTATTTTTTAGAGCAGTTTTATGTTCACAGAAAATATAATTTACTTTTATATATTGATCTTGTATCTTTCAACCCTGCTAAACTATAATAGCTTTTTGTTTGCTTTCATAGGATTTTAATATACAATCATGTCTGCAAAATAAAGACAGTTTTATTTCCTTTATAATCTGGCTGACTTTTACTTCTCTTTCTCTCTGTCTCTCCTGTTCTCTCTTTTTTTAAAAGATTTTATTTATTTATTCATGAGAGACACAGAGAGAGGGAGAGTCAGAGACACAGGCAGAGGGAGAAGCAGGCTCCATGCAGGGACCCCGATGCAGGACTCGATCTCAGGACTCCAGGATCATGCCCTGGGCTGAAGCCAGGCACTAAACTGCTGAGCCACCCAGGGATCCCCCTCTTTCTTTTTTTTAAAGATTATATTTATTTATTCGAGAAACAGAGAGGCAGAGACACAGACAGAGGGAGAAGTAGGCAGAGGGAGAAGCAGGCTCCATGCGGGAAGCCCAACGTGGGACTCGATCCCTGCTCTCCAGGATCATGCCCTGGGCTGAAGGCTGTGCTAAACTGCTGAGCCACCCAGGCTGCCCTCTCTCTTTCTTTTTATGTTAAGTTTTATAGCTCATTGAAAAGAGTGGTCATCTTTTATAATGGCTGATTATGATCATAAGATTTGAAAAACATTAGTTTAATCAATGAACAACGTTATGATATATTTGCAAGTGAAATGCTTTTGTCTCATTTGAAATTTGCCAGAGCAATTGATGGAAAAAATGTTAAAGCTCTTTTTTGAAATAGACATAAATAATATTATTTTTAAAAAAGATTTTATTTATTCATGTGAGACACAGAGAGAGAGGCAGAGACACAGGCAGAGGGAGATGCGGCACTCAATCTCAGGACTCCAGGATCACAACCTGAGCCAAAGGCAGACACTCAACCACTGAGCCAACCACTGAGCCACCCAGGTGCCCCCACAAATAGTGTCAAATATATATAGGGGGCCGAATCATTGCAGTAATAGGGCTCTGACTCTAGAAATCTGTTACTTAAAATATAGAATTTGACTTAAGGAAAAATTGGCAAGTGATCATAAGTCAGATTTTCAAATGTTAGGTTGGTTATTGGACTAGAGTAGGCAGGGTAGGGGAAGTTTGATGTTCTGCTTTATTATTGACATCATTGCCCTTTTCAGTATGGTAGGTTTACTAATGGTGTAAGCGGCTATTACTTTTCTCTTTTGGCTGAGTTCATTGTCTAAAACTTCTAGTATGTTGTGTAGAAATGATGAAGGCTTTCATCATCACACACTTGCTTTATTCCTGAACTTACAGGGTAAGTACTCAGTATTTTACCACTGAGTATATTGTTAGCACTAAGTTTTTCACTAATGTCCTTCATCAGGTTGAGAATGTTCCCAACTCCTCCTAGTTTGCTAGGAGTTGTTTTTGTTTTTCTGTTTTTTTTTTTTCAGAACAGATGTTGATTTTATCAAATGTTTTTCTATGCATCTATTGAGATAATCATATGCTTTTTCTTTTTTATTTTTTTAAAGATTTATTTATTTATTCATGAGAGGCACAGAGAGAGAGAGAGGCAGAGACATAGAAGAAGCAGGCTTCCTACAGGGAGCCTGATGCAGGGACTCAATCCTGGATCCTGTGAGCTGAAGGCAGATGCTCAATCGCTGAGCCAACCATGTGTTCCTCATATGCTTTTTCTTTTTTAGTTCGTTAACATGGTAAATTATGTTGATTGGCTTTTGAGTGTTGAACCAACCTTGCATTCCTGAGGATAAACTGCTTTGGTATTGTGTATTATCCTTTTTATATGTTTTTAGTTTTAAGTTAAGATTTTCTTTTTAGGGATCCCTGGGTGGCGCAGCAGTTTAGCGCCTGCCCTTGGCCCAGGGTGCGATCCTGGAGACCTGGGATCGAATCCCACGTCGGGTTCCTGGTGCATGGAGCCTGCTTCTCCCTCTGCCTGTGTCTCTGCCTCTCTCTCTCTCTCTCTCTGTGACTATCATAATAAAAAAAAAGATTTTCTTTTTAAATATATTTTTTAATATTTATTTACTTGAGAGAGAGAGTGAGAGGGAGAGTGTGAGCACATAGTGGAAGAGGGAGCAGAGAGACTGACATGAGGCTCAATCCCAGGACTCCAGGATCATGATCTGAGCTGAAAGCAGATGTTTAATTGACTGAGCCACCCAGGTGCCCCTCAAGTTAAGATTTTTTTCTTTTTTTTTTAAGATTTTTGTTTATTTATTCATGAGAGACAGAGAGAGGCAGAGGCACAGGCAGAGGGAGAAGCAGGCTCCCTGCGAGGAGCCGGATGTGGGATTCTATCCCAGGACTCCAGGATCATGACCTGGGCCGAAGGCAGAGGCTCAACCACTGAGCCACCCAGGTGTCCTGGAAGCTATTTATTGATAAATACCTTATTTAACTTGCTTGTTCTTTTTTAAAAAAAGATTTTATTTATTCATGAGAGACAGAGAGAGAGAGGCAGAGACACAGGCAGAGGGAGAACTAGTCTCCATGCAGGGAGCCCCATGTGGGACTCAATGCCGGGACTCCAGGATCATGCCCTGAGCCAAAGGCAGGAGCTTACCCACGAGCTACCCAGGCATCCCAAGATTTTCTTAATAATATTTCCCTCTATGTTTATAAGGGACGTTGTCCTATAATTTTCTTGTGTCATCTTTGGTTTTGATATCAGATAATGCTCTCCACATACAGTGAGATGGAAAGTATTCTCTCCTCTTTTTCTGGTAGAGTTTGTGTAGAGTTAGTATTATTTCTTCCTTAAAAGTTTGGTAGGAAGTGCCTAGCTGGCTCAGTTGGTTAAGTGTCTGTCTGCCTTCAGCTCAGGTCATGATCCCAGGGTTCTGGAATCGAGTCCCATGTCAGGTTCCCTGCTGGGCGGCGAACCTACTTCTCCCTCTCCCTCTGCTTCTCCCCCTGCTTCTCTCTCTCTCTCAAATAAATAAAATCTTAAAAAAAAGTTTGGTAGAATTCACTAGTGAAGTCATGTGGAGTTTTCTTTGTGGGAGACTTTAAATTATTTAAAACTTTAAATTATTTAAAATTTAATGTCTTTAATAGACATTGTGTTATCAGGTGATGTACTTCTTCTTGCATGAGCTTTGGTATTTTGTATCTTTTTTTTTTATTTTTATTTTTTTTAAAAAATTCTTTTTTTAAATTTTTTTAAATTTTTATTTATTTATGATAGTCACACAGAGAGAGAGAGAGAGAGGCAGAGACACAGGCAGAGGGAGAAGCAGGCTCCATGCACCGGAGCCCGACGTGGGATTCGATCCCGGGTCTCCAGGATCGCGCCCTGGGCCAAAGGCAGGTGCTAAACGGCTGCGCTACCCAGGGATCCCGGTATTTTGTATCTTTTAAAGATTTTGTCCAGGGATGCTTGGGTGGCTCAGTGGTTGGGTGTCTGCCTTCACCTCAGGGTGTGATCCCAGGTCCAGGGATTGAGTCCCACATCTGGCTTCTGTGAGGAACTTGCTTCTCCCTCTGCCTGTGTCTCTGCCTCTCTTTGTGTCTCTCATGAATAAATAAATAAATCTTAAAAAAATAAAGATTTTTGTCCATTTCCTCTATGTTGTCGAATTTATTGGTATGGTTTATACTATTCCCTTATTACCATTTTGGTACCTGTAGATTCTGTGTCATTGCCACCTTTATCATTATTTTTTTTTAAGATTTTATTTATTTATTCATGAGAGACAGAAAGAGTGAGAGGCAGAGACACAGGCAGAGGGAGAAGCAGGCCCCATGCAGGGAGCCCGATGTGGGACTTGACCCCAGGTCCCCAGGATCACGCCCTGGGCTGAAGGCAGGTGCCAAACCACCAAGCCACCCAGGTTGCCTACCTTTATCATTCTTGATACTGACCATTTGTATCTTATTTTTTTCTGGTCTCATCTATTGACAGAATTACACATTTCATTGACCTCACAAAACCAGCTTTTGGTTTTACTGATTTTTTTCTATTGTTTCTCTGTTTTCTATTTCAATTATTTTCACTTTAATATTTCTTATTTCAATTCTTGTGCTTATTTGGGCTCTATTTGCTCTTCCATTTCCAGTTCCTTAAAGTGGAAACTAAGGGATTCATTTGGGACATTTGTTATTTTCTAATATAGATATTTTTAGTGGTGTATTTTTTTCTCTATGCACTGTTTTAACTGCATCCCACAGATTTTGATATTTTTTCATTTTTGTTCAGTTCAAAATACTTTCTTTTAGACTTTTTAGTTCACTCACATTTTATTTAAATGTGTGTTGTTTAGTTGGGGATTTTCCAGGGGTCTGTCTTTTACTGATTTCTAATTTAATTCCATTGTGGTCAGAGAACATACTTGAAATGATTTTTTTTAAGTAGCCTATACACCCACCGTGAGGCTCAGACTCACAACCCTGAGCTCTAGAGTTGAATGCTCTACTGACTGAGCCAGCCAGGTGTCCCCCAGAAATGACTTTAAGCTTTTAAATTTATTGAGGTTTGGTTTATGATTGAGAATATGATATGTCTTGGTAAATATTTCTTGTATATATGAAACTAAGCACTCCTCAGTTTTAAACATCCCTATTTCTGTAATTTTTTTTTACTTAAAAAAAATTGAGAGAGAAAGAGGACATGTGCAAGCTGGGGCAGAGGAGGAGGGAGAGGGAGAGAGTATTTTGAGCATACTCTGTGCTGCGTGTGGAGCCTCACACGGGGCTTGATCTCAAGACCCTGGGATCATGAACTGAGCTGAAGGCAGACACCTAACCAACTGAGCCACCCAGGTGCCCCCATAGTTTTGTAATTATTGTTTAGTTACATGCAGAGTAATTTAAGGACAGTAAAGTCTATTGTCTTGAATCTGACAATGTCTATTTGATGTCTTCACGCCTCTTAAAGGCAGACTCTATATCCTGTTTGCCTTTCTCTCCCCATAGCATTTTTCCTGACCCCAAATAGAAGCTCAGCAGACACTGGTTCAATGGATGGATGACACTCAGAAATAGTTAGGCCAGGTTCTTATTTTTTTTAATAAATTAATTTTTTATTGGTGTTCAATTTACCAACATACAGAATAACACCCAGTGCTCATCCCATCAAGTGTCCCCCTCAGTGCCCGTCACCCATTCACCCCCACCCCCCGCCCTCCTCCCCTTCCACCACCCCTAGTTCGTTTCCCAGAGTTAGGAGTCTTTATGTTCTGTCTCCCTTTCTGATATTTCCTACCCATTTCTTCTCCCTTCCCTTCTATTCCCTTTCTCTGTTATATTCCCCAAATGAATGAGACCATATAATGTTTGTCCTTCTCCGATTGACTTATTTCACTCAGCATAATTCCCTCCAGTTCCATCCACGTTGAAGCAAATGGTGGGTATTTGTCATTTCTAATGGCTGAGTAATATTCCATTGTATACATAAACCACATCTTCTTTATCCATTCATCTTTTGATGGACACCGAGTCTCCTTCCACAGGTTCTTATTTTTGATTCAGAAAATATCCTTGTGCTATGTGACCAGACTGAGTCTCACACACCTTTATGTCTTTGCATCCCTACAGGACTTTGCACGTAACTTGACACACCACAAGTGCTTGGGCAGCATTGTTGACATTGAATGGAACTAGAGAGACAGCCACAAAGGTGCTGCCTCAGACTGGTGGGATCTAGGCCACTCTGTGGCACTTGACAAACTGCTCTGGCCACAGTTGGAGAGGCTGTCCTGTCATAAAGCCCCCTAAGACATGATGTCACACACAGACACCTCTCTCCTTACAAAAGGGAGGGGCTGTGGTGTTGGCCTCACAGACTTAGCTGGGCTCCCGTGCCCTCCTCAGGCTCGGCCCTAGAGCTTGAAGAGAGGTGAGCAGGACACTGCCTGGACGCTGATATGATCAGAGGGTGCTCTGCAAGTCGCTGAAATCACCAAGATTGGCAGCAAGTGGGCTCAAAGGCTGCCCTCAGTAGAGCACCTGAGCAGGTGAAAATTGGCTTTACAACTCTTAGCTTCCCTTTCCCCATCTTTCCTACCTGGCATCCCCTTCTCCCTCTCTTCCTCTCTCCCTCAGGATCTGTTTACTTTCCTCCTCCAGACCGCCTCTTGGAAAAAGCTGGATAACTTTGCTCACACCAAGGTAGAAATGACTAATGGCCCAGGGAACGGAGGGCAGCCACCTCCCTGAACAGGGATGAAAGGGTCTGGGAGAAGCAGAGGATGGGTGGGTTTGGCGGCAGGGAGTCGAGGGAGTCCCATCTGGGGGTGCCTGTATTCTCTGCTGAGGGTGGGACAGGGGGAGGAGAGGGTGGAAAGCTGAAGGGAGATTCTGAATTTGGCCCTGGAGAGATGAGGGCCCTCCCTTGGGGCACAGAGACTCACAAGGCGGCATCGGGTCCCAATCACATCGGAGACCTTGACTTTACCGTGAGCTTCGCTCATAAGGAGTTCCACACTGCAGGGGGTACTTCAGACAGAAAGGGTCTTTTGAGGAGGCCACGCATTTCCCTTAGGACTCCCTAAATTGTAAGAGTAAATGATAATGATTAAAAACTACCAATACTCTCAAATATTTTCTGTTGCACAGTGTTTCTGAAATAACTAGCCACCTACATCTGGGGTCATTTTATACCAAATGCTCAGTCGAGTGACACCTGAATTCTATCCCAGACCCCTTTTCCCATCCTGATTCTCTGAGAACTGCCTTTCCAGCTCTGAGGGCATTGAAACCAGCTTTTGTTTGGGACTCTGAGGTCTTGGGAGAAATTCCTGAGCATTTTCCAAGCTAGCCCATTCTGTCCTGAGTTTGGCCCTGGCTGTGACCAGCGGGCCATCCCCCCGGGAAAGAGGGTGGCCCATCGCTTGTCCCATCGCATGGCCCATACCCCACCAGGTAAAGGAACACGGGATCAGGCCTGCTGATGCACTGATGGTTGACCATCTTTTCTTCGCAGAGTGAAAATGGTGTTTGGACTGGGCTGCCAGAGAGAGAGGTAAAGTTCAGGTGGGCCCAGTGCCTTGAGTGACCAGGAAAGGGGACGCCCACTTAGGTCTAAAAGGAAAGGAGAATAGAGTTCTCTGTTCCCCTTTCCTTGACTGTTCCAGTTTCTCTGTGACTCAGGGTTGGGGCAGAAGGCCTGGTCCTGGCTGGTGGGCCGTGCCTCTGTGTGTGCACCTGTGTGTGCATGCGCCCTGGGAGCCACTGTCCGACAGTGTCAAGATGCTCTGCTTGTGCCAAGGGGAAGGGGTCCCAGAAGAGGTGGGCGAGTCCTGGGGATACAAATTCTGATCTGGATTGTGGGATCTGTCAGTCCCAGAGTAGGGCTCTTGGAAGACTCCGGGAGAAGAGCTGGTCCAACGCTGACTGCCCAGCCTGGGCTGGGTGCTTGCTTTCTGGCTGGGATGGCAAGGTGGGGCCAGGGAGACAAGAGCAGAAGAAGAGGAGGAGTGTGTTTAGGCTCTGAGTCTGGCTCTCAGTGGAGGCGGAGGCACAGGGCCTGCCGAGCCCTGATCCAGTTAACAGATTTGCGCACCCACAGTGTCGGATCCCCCTGGTGGAGCTAGTCCTGGGGTTTGGAGCGGGAGGGAAGGTGGTCCCCACTCACTAGTGAGGGCACGGGGCACCCAAGCTCTACCCTCAACTTCACTTTCCTTCCAGGCTCTACAAGCCCCTGTACATAGTACACGTCTTCATTCTTGCAGGTAAGGGCGCTGGGGAATGCAGGGGCGGCCCGCTGGTTCTGGCCTCAGGGCCGCCCCACTCTCTGGTTGCTTACTGGGGCTCCCAGGGCCTGGCCGTGCTGCTCAGAGTCAAGGCTGCCCTCTGTCTCTTTCTTCCCTTGGTACCTTTGCAGTGAAACAGATTTAAACCCATGTTTGATTCTGAAATCCCCCCTCCCCTCTGGAAACCCATGAACCGAAACCCACACAACCTCACGTCCTATAGCAGTGGTCTTCAATGTTTGCCTGCACACCTGTGGAAAAAATCCAACTTCCCTCATACACATTAACACCCAGCTTCTTTCATTCCAAGTTTAGTTTAAAGGGATACAATTTCTGGTATATTGTAAATAAATACTGACATTTTAGAGTAATGGTATCACTCTTAAATGTTTTAATTAGTCTTTCTTCACTCATTGCAGGAGTGGTATACTACTATTTTCAGGGGTCTGTGGGGAAGCCAGCCCCTGACCACGAGATTGCTGGGGAACCTTCCCAGGTAGGCACTGAGGAGGCCTAGAGGCCGGGGTAGCCTCACTGTAGCTTGAGTAGAGGTCACGCTCCTTGGTTCTTAACTGTGTGTGTGTGTGTGTGTGTGTGAGAGAGAGAGAGAGAGAGAGAGAGAGAGAGAGAGAGAAAGAGAAAGGGAGGGGGAAATGTGAGGGCTCTGCAGAAATTCACTGGTTTTCTGGTAAGGTGTCCAAACAGAGGCTCCATCCCTCATAGGCTGGCTGTGTAGTCATCCTGGGGCTCTGTGGCAGTGGCGTCCACAAACCAAACAGATGATCCCTCATTGATGTGAGTAGCTCTGGAATGTGGTTCAGCGCTCTTATATGGACGACGTGGTGAGCCTGCCTGGGGTCACATACTGTCCTCCATGGCCCAGATCCAAGGACCTAGGGCAGAAGTCCCTGCTCCCAGCCCTGGTCAGAAGAACAAAGGTGGGTCCCGGACACCCACCTAGGGTCACATGCCGAAACACGTGCTGTCCACCTGTTAGGTCCCGCAAGCCTCACAGCAGCCCTGCAGCTCGCATCTCATGTAGATGGGAAACAGCCCCCAGGGACACAGTGCCTGGATCCAGGCTGCCAGGGTGACAGGAGAGGACCACATTCCTGATCCCCGGAGGCCTCCTGCTCTCTGCACAATGTGGCTGGGAACAGGGGACTCCCATAGAGACAGGTCGTCTGTGGCCCAGAAACACGGAGTAGATGCGTGACACCTCCCGGCTGACCTTCCAGAGGCTGGGAGCCCCGAGGAAGGCCCATAGGTGCCTTGGATGGAGACCACAGAGTACAACTCTGCTTCCTTTCTTTTTGTTGTTTAAAGTTACTAGTCAAATTTCCATTTAAAAAAGTTTTATTGTCATCAAAGCTATGCTCCGACATCATCTGGTGCTTTAAAGTTTTAAGACCTGGAACCAAAAAATGGCTGCCTTTGCCCCAGCCCGCCCACCGGCGCTTTCCCCAGGGTTGGAATCCTCCCAGCCTCCAACCTTCCCAGCTGGAGCCTTTCATTTTTCCATGTTTCTAATTAGCAAGCTTATCCTGCTTTGTCTTCATTTCTCAGATTTAGACAGCCGGTGAGGATTTAGCTCCCGGGACAACTGTACATTCGCTGCCCCTCCAACACACACGTCCACCTCCCTCCAGCCTTCCAGTGTAGTTACAGCCCTGTTTTGGGATCGTGACATTTTATTACTTATTTTCTTTAATGATTTTATTTATTTATTCATGAGAGACACACACACACAGAGAGAGAGAGAGAGGCAGAGACACAGGCAGAGGGAGAAGCAGGCTCCATGCAGGGAGCCAGACATGGGACTCGATCCTTGGTCTCTAGGATCACGCCCTAGGCTGAAGGCGGCGCTAAACCACTGAGCCACCCAGGCTGCCCAGATTGTGACATTTTAAATCTGAGTAATGACATTTTCAATTGTTAAAATCTTTTAAATAACATGGTTGCCGTTCTGCTGATTTTTAAAATTTTTTATTTAAATTCAATTTGCCAACCTCTATAGTACAACACCCCTTGCTCATCTCATAAAGTGTCCTCCTTACTGCCTGTCACCCAGTTACCCCATCTCCTCACCCGCCTCCCCTCCCACAACCCTTTGTTTCCCAGAGTTAGAGAGTCTTCCATGGTTTGCCTTCCTCGGTTCTGCTGATTTTTATATCATTTTGGGTTTTCAGCTCCCCTGTGCTTCCGTGGCCGAGGGCTCTTTTTGGACAGCGGGGTAACCACCACCACAATTAAGAAACAGAGCAGTTCCGCCGTCCCTTCAAAAAATTCCTCTGGACTCTTGTGCAGTTGGCCTTCCCCTCCCCCGCATCCAGCTGACAGTTTTCCATTCCTATCGTTTTGCTTTGCAAGATTGTCCTGTAAGTGGGGGCACCCTGCGTGTAGTCTGGTCCCTCACTGAGCTTGGTGCACCTGAGACGTCTCTGGGTGCAGGCGCAGCACCTTGTTTCTCCTTGATGCTGAACGGGTGTCCTCCATGGGAAGGACTGCAGGTTGTCTGCTCAGCGCCTAGGAGACATTTGGGTGTTTCCAGTTTGGGACAATTACAAATAAAGTCGCTGAAGGGGCGCCTGGGGGGCTCAGTTGGTTAAGTGTCTGACTTTTGATTTCAGCTCCGGTCATGATCTCGGGGGTCTTGGCATCGAGCCCCACATTGGGGAGCAGGGACTCTGCTTCTCCGTCCCCCCTCCCCCATTCATGTTTTTTTTTTCTCTCTCTCTAAAATAAATAAATAAAATCTTTAAAAAACAAAACAAAACCACTATAGGGGCACCTGAGTGGCACAGTTGGTTAAGCTTCTGCCTTTGGCTCAGGTTTTGATCCTGAGGTCCTGGAGTTGAGCCCCTGCTTGGTGGGTGGGTGGGGGGGATCCTGCTTCTCCCTCTGCCCCTTCCCCTGCTTGGGCTCTTGTGCTTACTCTCTCTCTCTCTCTCTCAAATAAATACATAAAAATCTTTTTTTTTTTAAGATTTTATTTATTCATGAGAGACACAGAGAGAGCAAGAGGCAGAGACACAGGCAGAGAGAGAAGCAGGCCCCATTCAGGGAGCCCGACACAGGACTCGATCCCAGGTCTCCAGGATCACACCCCGGGCGGAAGGCAGGCAGGCGCTAAACCACTGAGCCACCCAGGGATCCCCCATAAAATCTTTTTTTAAAACCCACTATAAATCTTCATTTAGGGCTGACATTTTTAAAATGAGAATAGTATTCCACACTGAGTCACGTACCATGGTTACTCTTCTTAGCGTGGCATTTTGTTTTTGCCTCTTTTTTCTGTTCGCTTCCTCTCTACGTACAATTAATATACCCAGGCTCTCTGCCAAAAATATCAATCCCCTTGCAGTAGATTTACACAAATTAGGTGTTTAATGGAATGATGGTTTTCACAGAGCATATCTCACGGGGCGGCCCTCCCACTGCTCCCATAGGGACAGGATGCTCAGCTGCCCTGGGACCTCCCTTTCTTGGCAATCTGGGGAGCCCCTGTCACTCCTTTATTTTAATGGAATGCAACCGCTAGGGGAACCTCTGCTTCCTGAGGGGTAGTCTTCAGATATTACATGTCTGCCATGGTCTTAATTCATATGCGACTATGAGTTTGGGTAGGTATAGAATTCTAGACTAGAAATATTTTTTCTCATAGAGTTTGAAGATCCAACTTCCTTGTCTTCTGGCTTCAAAGACTTTCAAAAAGAAGTCTGACGAAAGTTGAATTCCTAAAACAGGCTTTTTTTCTTTGTATTTTAGAAGTTTTTGGGTTCCTTGTCCTGAGGGTTCTGAAATGTACTGATGACAAAACCCGGGGTAGATCTCCCTCATCCATTGTCCTGGACACTGGGTGATTCCTTCTCTTCTGGAAACTCACATCCCTCATCTTTGGGAAATGGTCTTGATAAAAAAGGGACATATTTATCTGGTATCTCTCCCTGCCACTTCAATCTGCTGTCTCTGTTTCCTCTCAGAAAGCTCTAGGAGTTCGCAGTGGGAGCTCCTGATCTCTTCTCTGTTCTTTCTCGGGAAAATTTTTTTTTCGACTTTACCTTCTACATTTTGATTGGATTTTTCCCTCCCAGTATTCTATCATATTTTTGTTTTTAAGAACTGGAGGCTTTTTAAACATTTCTGTTATTTATTTATTTATGATTCTATTTATTTATTTCACACAGAGCACAAGCAGGGGGATCAGCAGGCAGAGGGAGAGAGAGAAGCAGGCTCCCTGCTGAACAGAGAGCCTGACCTGGGACACGATCCCCAGGACCCTGGGATCATGATCTGAGCCAAAGGCAGATGTTTAACCCACTGAGTCACCCAGGCGCCCTGAACATCTCCGTTTTAGAGTCTATTCTTGTTTCATGAATGCTAAGTTTTAACTTTCTAAAGACATTAGTTATTGTTTACTTGAACTTTTCTTTTTCTTCAAACTACTGGTAATTTTTAGGTGTCTGTGTATGTAGGCACTGACTGTGGATTAGTGTGTAGCTGAGGTGACCCTGAGAGGTCACCTCAGCCTTCCCTCCGTCCTTTTTCTCCTCGTCATGCAGCTTGTAGGGGAGTCCTTGAGGCCGGTGTGGGGGCCGATGGATAAGTGCTACCCCGTGACCACTCAGGTGGGTAAGGGCTGGGGGCCCCCTGGATGTGGGGCGTTGGCCTGGGCACCCTGGGTGGGTACAGAGAGGAGGTGCAGCAGGGAAGGACCCCCAGCTGCTCACAGCTGTGAATCACTCTCCTGTTTGCTTCTGCAGAGACGCAGAGTCAAGAGCGAGAAGAAGCCAGCCTCTGAGGTGAGTGAGGCTTGCCCCGGCCGGGGCTCGCTTGTCAGGGCTCCATGAGACGCGGAGACACCCCAGCTCATGGCGGGGGCGTCCCAGGGCTGGTGGCAGGGCCCCCCAGGAAACTGGCAACCCGCTGAGAAGGGAAGGACTCCCTTGGGAAGACACAACTACACACCGCAGGCCAGAGAACAAGGCAGGAGGGAGAGGACCCTTCTGCCCATATCCCGCCCTCCTGACCCCCTGCAGGCTGTGCCCTCCAAGGCGAAGGGAGGACTGAATGGTGCTGCCCCTGAGGGGGAGACTGACATCTTGTCCCAGCGTGAGGGGGAAACAGCTGGCCCTGGGCCCGCTGGGAAGGAGGTGGCTGAGGAGGAAGAGGTGGCAGGGGTCCCAGGCTGGGAGGTAAGGAGGCGGGTGGGCTATCTGGAATGTTCCCGGCACCGTCCTACTGAGAAGCCCAGGAGCACTGCAGGATGGAGGTCATGGGAAGGAGGGCAGAGCTGGGGGGATGGGGCACCCAAGACCCCTGGGCCAAACTGCCATCCCAGTGGGGCAAGGGGCCCTACAGAGCCCAGAGGCAGCAGCCATGGTGTGAGCCAAGAGTGGGTCTGAACCCTGCCTCCCCCGACTTCCTGTGAAGCGAGGCCTCAGTTTCCCTGTCTGTGTAACATGGGGCCTATCTTCTTCCACTACTGTGCCCTGTCTTTCTTCCCAGGAAAACATCCAGGTCCGCAAGGAGATTGCAGTATACACCTCTGGTAAGACCGCCGGCCCCACAGCCCTGCAGCAGGCCCACCTCCCTCCCTAACCTGGGGACACAGCAACAGCACAGACACCGGCTCCTCTCAGGCCCCTGGCCCTGGGGTGGGGCAGAGGAAGCCCCGGCAGCCAGATGCCCGTCCCCCCTGAACATCTTCCTGGTTGGCAGGAACTTGAGGCCTCCCCCCTTGGGCTGGAGGAGCAGCGTCAGAGGGAGCCCTGGCCCTGGGGAAAGGTCCCTCCCCAGCAGGGGACCCACAGGGCATGCCGGTTTGTGCTCGTAGAAGCCTCTGAGATGGAGAGTAAGGAGGGAAGGCCTGGGGGCTGGGTCCCCCAGCTCCTGAGGAAGCTCTGGTTGGACTGGTTCCCAGCCCCTGACATCCCGAAGACTCAGAACCACGAATGACCAAGCACCCAATAAATGCACAGACTTGCTGCTTCTGCAGGCCCTGCTACTTCCTTTCCGGGGCTTCATTGAAACCCAGTGAGGCCCCTTCCACACTCCCTGCCACACCTGCTCCTCTGGAGAGGCCCTCCGACTCGGAGCCAAGGGACAGAGCAAGTTCCCTGAACGTGGGGGAGCTCCATGTCAGGAGGGCGTTTAGAAGGTGCTGGTGGGACGTCTGTCAGGGATGCTGTTGGGTACAGGGTGGAGGGAAAGAGAGGCCTGGCTGAGTGGGGTGCCTCTAACCGAATGTCTCTGGTCCCCAGGCTGTTCTCTAAATGCACCAGGGGGTCTGCCCAAGACTGGCTAAGCGGCACACCTAGAAACCATCAGGTGCTGCCCAGGAGCCCAGTCCAGAGGCAGCTAATTGTAGGGGTGGGCACAGGGGGACAGCAGTCCTGTTCTCGGCCGGGGCTCCAGGCTAATGGGGTCACTGCCCCAGAAGTCAGAGCAGGATGACAGGACCCAGCAGCCCAGGGCAGGGAGGGACTGGCCCAGGGTCACACAGTATCCCAGCAGGGCAAGGATGAAAGCGAGGGTGGCCTCCCCCTCCTCTGCCCATTCCACGGGCCCAAGGTTGACCCCTGTCCCTGGGGCATGCCTGTGGCCCACAGGTCCCACTGCCGACCACTGGCCAAGTCTCCTGAGAACCCAGCTTGACCCAGACACTCGGACTGTGCTCTTGGGTGGAGCCCAGATGAGTGTCGTCTTCCTCCAGCCTGGCTGTAAACGGCAGCTCTGGGGCAGGCGCCTGGACACAGGCATCCCTGGGGGCTGGGGAAGGGGGTCTCACCCGGTTTTGAGTGACTAAAAGGCTTAGGGAGGTGGCCCCTGGATGGCCAAAGGCTTCCCAGGGAAAGCTGGGGCACCTGGGGACTGTGCCCCGGGTGTTAGCCTGGAACATCCCTCATGGCTGTCCCAGAGTCCCCCACCTTTGGGTGTGTCATAGACGAATGGGATAGAGGAGTTGGTGCCGGCCGAGCTGCTGGCCCGTGGGGTGGGGTGGGTGGTGTTGGACCTGAGATGCGGGTGTCCAGGCTGAGCGGGGTCCTCTCAGCCCCACTAGGGCCCAGCTGAGGGCTCTCAGCAGCTTGTTCTAGATCTTCCCACCACGAACCAGGACCTAAATATAGACATGGTCACTAACCAAGTAGCCAGTATTGGGGCTCTGTGGGCAACTAGGGGGTGAGCTCCCATCTTCTGACCCTCGGCAGACCTCATCTGTCCAAGATAGGGATGGAGCAGGCCAGGGTCAGGGCTGGGTCTGGGGAGGCCGCTGCGGCCCCTTCGCCACCGGCGGCTGGTCAGGGGGCCCTGAGGGACTCGGAAGCTGGGATGGAGCCACCAAACTGGTTTATTGTACCTCGGGCCCCTGCTGAGGAGCCGGGTGTGTGGGGGGGTTCCTGCCCCTAGCGAGGCTCCACACAGAGCTGGAAGGGGGCTGGAACCTTCAGGAAGGTGAAGACCCCGTGGTCACTGGGCTGGGGCTGCCCTGCAGGCACTGAAAAGCTGAAGCGCTGCAGGAGGCAGGTGAAGAAGAGGAAGAGCTCCATGCGGGCCAGGGGCTCCCCGAGGCAGACGCGGCGGCCTGCGGGTGGGGAAGGGGCGCCCAGTAAGCCCGGCGCCGGGGCCCCAGCCTCCAAGACTCCCTCGGGAGGGGTCGGCGAGCCGGGCACCCGCGCACCTGCAGAGAAGGGCATGAAGGCCTCCTGCTTGACGAAGTGGCCCTGGGCGTCCAGGAAGTGCTCCGGGTAGAAGCGGAAGGGCTTCTTCCAGACCTTCTCGTCCTTTAGCACTGACGACAGGTTGGTGATGAGTGTCGTCCCCTGGCAGGAGATGCCTGGCGTGGGTGGGGTCTGGGCCACGGGATGCCCGGGCCCCTGCCACCAAACATGCATGGGCACACACTCCGCCTGGCGCACTCCTGGACCCTTTGAATAACCCCTCGGCCCCAGAAGCTTCTCGGCACCCTCTCTGTCCCCATGGCAGGGCTAAGGGACTCCCCACCCACGGGTGCCCACACGGCCACCCGTCCCTGTGCACAGGCTCCTCCAGCACGCTGTGGCACATTTCAGCCTGTCTTCCCCAGCGGCCTGGCAGCTCTGAAGGGACAAGGGGTGGGGCTGGCCCAGCCCCTGCTCTCCTCCGCGTCCCCCCAGCTGCCCCCCACCCCCAGCATCAGGCTGTGACCACGGCAGAGGGAGGCCTGCAGACCTACCTTGGGGATGAGGAAGCCCTGCACTTCAGTGTCTCGGGACGTCATGTGGGGCACACCCAGTGGGACGATGTCCCCAAAACGCTGTACCTCATGGATCACGGCCACGGTGAAGGGCATACGGGTCTGGTCTCCCATCTCTGGTAGCTGCTCTCGCCCTATCACCTCATCTATCTCCTGCTGGACACGTCCTGGACACACAAGCATCCCCACAGTGGTCAGAACCCAGGGGTCTGGACTCTGACGTCTGACGCCTATGGAGGCAGCTCTTACCTCTGAACCACGTCCCAGCCTCCACTCGGAGCTTCTGGGGGCCAAACCAAGCTCAAGGGACCCCGGGCTGTCCATCCTCTCCCTCCCCCATCCCATCCCATCCCACCCCCAGGCTGGGCTCACGCTGCACGTCCGGGTGCAGGATCATGAGCAGGAGGGCCCAGGTCAGCGTGATTGAGGTGGACACCATCCCAGCGATGAACAGGTCAGAGGTCACCATGCACAGGTTCTCCTCATTGAAGCTGCTCTTGGGGTTCCCTTTGGCCTAGGCCATGTGAGAGGGTGAGCTCTGGGGCAGAGGGAGAGAGCCCCCAGATGGCCTCCCACCCTGCACCCACTGGGTGATACACGGCCCCACCTTCGTGGGCCTTGGTTCTTGGGGCCCTCATCCCGCAACTATTGTCCCGGACACCTCACTTTTTCTATCTCATCCACGAAGGCGTCGACCAGGTGTCGGGGTGGCTGGGTGGGGTCCCGGGTCTTCCTGTGCTCCTGGATCATTTCATTTGTCAGGGTTATGATGGCCTTCTGCGCTGAGAAGACCTTGCTGGCCAGTCCCGGGATGTGCAGGAGCACGGGGATGGAGTTCAGGGCCTGCGGGGCGCAGATGGGGCCCTGCCTGTGCTCAGGGGCTCCCCGCGACCAGTCTGGTCCCCGCCGCCTCCAGGGTGTCCCCCCCCACCCCCCGTTGACCCGGTTCCGCCCTAAGTCCGCCTCGATCCTCTTTCCTGGCCCCGGGGACCCCTGAAGGATCAATCTCGCCTCTAGATCTCGGGGGCTCTGGCGGCTTCCGATGGAGGCGCGGGTGCCCCACCGCCCCGCCCGCGACCCCCCAGCCCGCGCACGCGCTCCTCCCCGGGGCTCCCCGCCGCGCACCTCACGCAGGAAGCCGGAGTCCTCCTTCAGCGCCTGCTGGGTGAGCTCCAGCAGCTGGAGCAGCCGCGGGTCGTCGTACTCGAAGCGGCGCCCGTAGGTGAGCGACGAGATCACGTTGCTCACCGCCTTATTCAGCAGCGCGGCGGGGCCGAAGGGGCGGCCTGCGGGCGCAGCGGGCGGGTCCGCGCTCGCCTCCGCCCCCCGCCCCCCCCGCCCCCCCGCGCGCATCCCCGCGCCCCGGGACCTGCGCCGCGCCGCTCACCCGCCTGCTCGGCGAAGGCCGCGCAGAGGCAACGGGCCTCCTCGGTCACCCACTGCTCCAGGGACTTCCTGCCCAGGCCGAAGTTGCGCAGGGTGGACAGCGAGAAGCGCCGCTGCTCGCGCCACGCGCGCCCGTAGCGCGCCAGGAACAACCCTGGGGGCGGGCGAGGGGCGGACCGTGGGCGGGGCTGCGCGCGGGGCGGGGCGGGGCCGTGGGCGCTCCCCCCCCCCCCCCCCCGCTCCCCACCGCCACTAAATCGCGCCCACTCTGACACCCTTCCCGCCGGGGACAGGTCTCTGCCCGCGTTGCTCGCCGGCGCTTCTCGGCCGGCAGGTGCTGGCCCCACGCCGCCCGCCTCGACCCCTTCGCAGTCCGGGAGAGTCCTGGCGCCCCCGGCTCGCCCCACCGACTGGGTCCTCATTCCCGCCCGCCCCGACGGCCTCTCCCGCTCCCAAGGGCCCTGGGCCCGCCCTCATCCTGCCGCCACCCACCCGGCACCTGGCACCCACTCCTTCCTCCACCTGCCGCCCCTCCGAGGTTGCTGCCTCTTCCCTGCCGTGCGCGCCACCATCCTGCCCCGCGTGGCCCCGCGGGCTTGTCGCTGCTGGTCCATCCCCGCCAGGCCCCGGGCTGCGCCCCTCCCCCGCTTGCCTTGGGATTCTGGCCCGAAACCCAGGTGGTCATAGATCGGCATAGGTGGGCGGTCGGCAGTGTCCTCGCTGCGGTGCACCAGGGCCTCGCGCACGGCCTCCAGGCCGTTGAGCACGACCACCGGCGTCCAGGCCAGCTCCAGGCTGAACACGTTTCCGAAGCGGCCCTGCAGCTGCAGGCCACGGGTGGAGGGCGGGGGTCAAGTCCGGTCCCCACCAGGCTGCAGGCCCCCAGTCTCGGGATGCTAGCCTTGGGGCACCTCTGGGGCCAGCAGCACTCTGGTGCAAGGGCCAGATCTGGCCCCGTGACCCTGGGGTCACACACTCTACGGAGGAGGGGCTGCCGCTGGATCAGAACTCTTCTTAGCTCTGACTTTGCAAAGGTCACCAAAATTGTCAGTGGGCCATGTTAGGATCCCATTCTACAGGTGAAGAAACTGAGGCTCAAGAACCCACAGCCGCTAGAGTTGTACCTGTCATTGTACCTATGTTAGCCCCGGTTTCCTGACTGAGATGGGGTTCCCCCGTCCAGAATCCCTTCCCCTATTCTCACAACTCACGACTTTTCCTCCTGAAGGAACCAGAAGGGACCCAGGTCACGTAATTTAAGGGCTGTCCAACTAGCTCTCAAATCCACCGCCAAGGCCACACTCCACTCCAGGCCTTGGTTCTCTCTGACCATTGATTGGAAAATCCAATCGGTCC